CTTTGGCAAAATGTTTCCTGTAGTTTTCTCCAGTTTTCTCCAAAGTTTCAGCCAGATTGGAACACTCTCCGAGTTTTCGCGGAGTTTTTTCCTTTTTTGCCGACTCCCTGAATAACTCCATTAGGTATGGTCTCTGAGCGCAGTTGCAACTGAAGAGTTTTTGAGCATATTACAGACGGCTTCCAAAAATACGCAATTATTCTCGCCTATTTGTCAAACTTTTAATAAAAATTTAAATAAATATTGTCGAATTAAAAAAAGTGGGACCTGGAAAATTTCGCGGGCGGCTTCCCGGTCAATTTTCGAGGCCTTGTCCCCAAAAACACTACGGTAGTAAACGAAGCTTATTTCTGTGAATTATGTGGGATTTTCCGGACAAAATTTACGTTTCTTGGTATGAAAATGATCGCTAGCATTTCTAGAATCTGTTTTTCTTCGAAAAACCGAACTTAATTGCGAAAGTAGCTCGAACGAGGCGAAACTCTGAAATATTACTTTTCTGCCGCGCTTTTTCGTAGATCAAAAAAAGCTACGCCTTTCAAATTCTCAGGTCCCACTTTTTTTAATTCGACAATATCGGCAGCGAAACAATGGAATGTCGCACCAACAGCTTTCAAAAATGTTCGGTGTAGATTTACTATAAACAACGCGCAAGCGGGGTGGCGGAGTGTCGTTTACAACAATAAATTCAACCCAGAACCGTATTTCTCGAAACTCTGAAATTAATTTTCTGAGTGAAAGTTATGAGAAGCATAGTTCTTTTTCTCCAAAATACTAGAGCTACTGCTTTAGTCTCGAACCGACTAGTTCATACAACAGCTCCAGTTAGCTGGCAAAAATTTGAGAATGAGAGACACTTCGAACCAGGAGAGGATGTAATGAAAAGAGTTTGGCATGGATTAACTTATGATTTTCGTAGATGGAAAAGACGTTTTCAAGAGGTATCTCAGCTCGAAAACGAAGTCTCAAATTGATTCCATCATTTTTCCAGGCTAGAAAAGATGCGTTCAAACGACGACACCCAGTTGCACATATGAAGCATGGTACTCTCGACAATGAAGTGTTTCCTTATCGAGCGGAAATCATTATTATTGGAGGAGGTTTAACAGGTTCTTCCACTGCTTTTTGGTTGAAAGAAAGGTTCAGAGATGAAGATTTTAAAGTGGGAATTCTATCGAGGTTGAAAATAGTATTTCTGCTTCACAGGTTGTCGTCGTAGAGAATAATGACTCCTTCACCAAAAGTAGTACAATGCTTTCAACAGGTGGCATCACTCAACAGTTTTCGATTCCAGAATTTGTTGACATGAGTTTATTCACCACGGAGTTTTTGAGGCACGCTGGAGAGCATTTGAGAATTCTCGGTAATTGTTAAATGTGAAAAAGATAAAAAAAGGAAATTTTTTAGATTCGGAACAGCCAGACATCAACTTCTTTCCAACCGGATACTTACGGCTCGCCAAAACAGAAGAAGAAGTTGAAACAATGCGATCCGCATGGAAAACCCAGATGTAAATTTTAGTATGACAATTCAGAATAGCATTTTTTTTCCAGTGAAAGAGGAGCGAAAGTCCAGCTTCTTTCAAAATCAGAGTTAGCTGAAAGATATCCGTACATGAATGTGGATGACGTTTTATTAGCAAGTTTAGGTAAATATCGGGTTTTTAAACCATTGGTCTAATCGAGGTCTAATTTTATTTTTAAGGTGTTGAAAACGAGGGAACTATTGATACATGGCAATTGTTATCTGCGATTCGAGAAAAGAATATCACTCTAGGAGTACAATACGTGAAAGGAGAAGTAGAGGGGTTCCAATTCGAACGTAATCGTGCAAGTTCTGAAGTTCACGCCTTCGGAGATGATGTCACTGCGGACGCAAATAAATTAAGAGCACAGAGAGTGTCTGGAGTGATAGTCCGACCTCAAATGAACGATGCATCTGCACGTCCAATTCGAGCCCATTTGATTGTTAATGCTGCTGGACCATGGGCTGGGCAAGTTGCCAAAATGGCTGGTATTGGTAAGTGAATGGACCTTCATAATAAAAAATAGCATGCCAGTTTTTTTTCAGGTAAAGGAACTGGATTACTAGCAGTCCCGGTTCCAGTTCAACCAAGAAAACGAGATGTATTCGTCGTATTTGCTCCGGATGTTCCAGCTGATTTACCATTCATCGTTGACCCATCAACTGGTGTCTTCTGCCGACAATCCGATTCAGGCCATACGTTTTTAGTGGGAAGAACACCGTCAAAAGAAGAAGATTCTCAAAGGAAACATGATAATCTAGATGTCGACTATGATGATTTTTATCAGAAGATTTGGCCTGTTCTCGTTGATCGTGTGCCTGGATTCCAGACCGCAAAGGTTAAAAGCGCATGGAGTGGGTATCAAGATATCAACACTTTCGACGATGCTCCTGTTATTGGAGAACATCCACTTTACACGAATCTCCATATGATGTGTGGATTTGGAGAAAGGTGAGAATCAAGTAAATTATGTATGAAGGTGTCTGAGCTGAGCTGATATGAAATGACGTTATGAGGTTCCCATGTTAAATTGGATTATCTCAACTTGATGGATTTCTGATTATTGACTTTGTTCCTTGTTAAATCAAACAGACTGAGAAATCTCATAATATCTAAATTACAGAGGAGTGATGCACTCGATGGCCGCTGCTCGTGCTTACGCTGAACGCATCTTCGATGGTGCATACATAAATGTGAACCTCCGAAAGTTCGATATGAGACGTATTGTCAAAATGGATCCCATCACAGAACCCTGCAGACTTTAATGTTCATTTTGCTCATTTTTAGTTTTTTTAGAGTATCGGGTTTTTTTAGAACTTTGTTTCCGTTGTTGTAAATTTAGATATGTAGTGTAAATCCATAGAGTTTTGTTGTCTTTTTTGTTTCAATTTATAAAATAATTTTGTAAAAAAAAGAATTCCCTTATCGTTTCAGGCAGAAATAAAATGAGTTCTGATAAGTCGAATGTTAGCTGGTTGGCTTGGTGAAGGTGTTGAATCAGAAGAAGCTAATTGAGTTTAAAATGTTGCATTGATTCCACCTTCCGAATGACGGGATTGAGTTTCAAAGAGAGTAATTCGATTCACTAAACTTTCTCGCGGTGGATATGAATGACCTAGTTTTGAGTTAATCGAATCAGATCAAGATCAATCGGACATGATCTAGAAAATGAGATCTTACATACTGATGTAGTTGGGAGATGAAGAATTAATTCTTGAGAATCAGTTCACATCATTTTCAGACAAATCTCGAAAAATGAAATTGATAGACGATAGTCTAAAAAAAGTTGAATGTATAGAACACATATGTAACAGAAAACAAAGTTTAACTACTGTAATAGAAGGCCACCCTATACTTAAACCTTGAGCTCAATTATCTAAGTTCCTATAAGAGATATTAAAAAAACTATCAACTGATGACATGTTTTCCACAATATCACCAACGTTTTATCAGTTGACACAGTTTTGATATAGAAATTGAGATAATTGAGAAAATTTTTATCTTACTGTTAGGGCATAGTCTAAAACAGGCTCATACGCGATTTTCATTCAGAAAACGAAATTTTATATTTTTGAGATAGCAAATGGATTATTTTACTCTCTTCAAGTCAATTTAAAAACCTTATTTTTGGACCTAGTTCAATAATGAGCTCATTTATGCAGTAAAGGAGTTTACTCCAAGAAAATAAAATTTTTAATAAGTTATTTGCAAACCTCTATACATACTTTGAATACCGTATTTCCTCTAATAGAAGTCCGCTCAAACCGTCATCGTTGAGATCAATTATCTCGATTCCTGTAAAAGATACCCAAAATTTGTCAGCTGAAGAAATATTGGTGATATCTATGATGAATAATTTGTCTGTTGACAAATTTTTGATATCTTTCACAGAAATCGAGATAATTGAGCTCAAAGTTGGGATGGGAAAAACGGTAGATAATTTCCCATTCAAGATCGAACTCCACCTTAGTTCACTTCCTAGACCAAGCTGTCATTCAGATTCATTTTGATTTCAGATATTTTCAGAAATGAATCAGACTGATTACCATCACATCCAGACTATTTTCTCGAATACATCTACATCACCACAAATTGAATTCGACAATCAATTGGGGATTCATCCTATTTCTGTCCGATTTCTTCGATTTCGTAAGTAAAATGTGTTGATTGATTTACGAGAGTTATACGGAAATTTGACGTTTGTACGTCTCTTGTGATTTGATTTGTCGTTGAGAGAGCACATACCGGGAAGAGATTTTAACCGGATCTAGTTGAGTATATAAGTCGGCTCAAAATCTTAAATTTAACATTTTCTACACCCTATTCCCTGAATTATAAGTGCTTATTCAGTGTACCGCTTGGGTAGTATCTTCCTCATTTTTTAAAACTATTAACTGATATTCTCTTGATCCGAATGACGTAGTGAATGAAAGTGGGCGATTCGATGGGTTTTAGTGGTGGCTTCGAACTGACTATGGCCTAGTTTTATGGGTGTCCCTACTCGATGTTTACGAGGAAGCTCTGGGGTCACATGAACTCGCATTTCATTAAGTGAGAATGACGGCACCGGAACAATGAGTTGTTCAGTTTTTATGGCTCAAGTTTTCTGATATCCTCACTTTTGTGTGGGTTTTATATGAATGCTTTTAGAGGAATTAGAGATTTTATTGGTGGTTACAGAAGGCGGGTCCATAGTCTAAGAACTTCCGGGAGTTTAGAAGATCTCTTTTCAATTCCGATTAAGTGTGATCCCAACAAGTAATTTAGTATTGTTATAAAACTTGAGTAAAGCGTTGTACTAGGCTCAAATTTGAAGTTCAAAAGTTGCAAAACTTCACCAGTAAACTGACCAGATATCAAATTATTCGATCAACTTTGGGCTGAGTTATCGCTGGACAAAGATGCTACATTTCATGAAAATCACAAGAAACATTACGCAGTTCATCTTTTAACAATCATAACAATACCTAGAATTGAGGAATCGCTTTGAAAGTTATAGTAGCTTTGAATCTAACGAAAAATTATATTCCTACCAATTTTCCTGTCTCCAAGATACTTATGTCAAAAGATATACCGTTTTTTATCAATCCGAGTACTTGTGCGCCACCCTGTAAATCAATTGTCTGCTTATTCTCAATTTGTAAATTCTCTTTCACACCACGTCATTCTATATTCGTATTGTCAAACCTACAACTCATACCAAGAATTCTCTAACAAAGGAATCTGGCGTTCCATGTATAACGTCTTCCTCTTCACCCCAACCCAAACTCGATTATCGTTAAGCGTATTGCGTCCCTTGACGACGAGTTAACCGAAAACCAGTGAAAAATGTCAGTTGTCAAAAAGACAAGATGACGTAGACACAATCTGTCATTTTTCAAATGTTGATCCTAGACTTTAATCAACCTATCAGCAGAAAAGAACCAATAAGACTGACTTTGAAAAATTGGTTTCTTTTCTAAAAGATCTCATGTTTCATATGAGCCGTCTCCCGTAATTCAAAACTTTTAATTTTCTTGAATCCTCATGATTTCTGATTTTCTTCTACATTATTTGCCCAATGTATCATCGACTGGATTAGATACTATTGAAGACAATGAGATGAGATTTTTCGTTTTTCGTTGCAGACGCATATTGTCAAAAAGTAATCCCGAATGGCGGATCCGAATACAACTCAAAGACCAAAAAGAACAAAAAATGTTGAAAATCCGTGTGGGTTGTATTCAGATCAAGACATGTGCCCTCTCTACATTTAGAGTCCCTAATCCGTTGACGTATGAAACAGAAGATGATCAAATAAGGAAACATTTCATACATGTCCCGCCTTTTATGTTTTTTGCCATGACTCAAATATTTTGAATATTTTTCCATAAATTCTGATTTTTCACTGTCCTTGTCAAAATTCTCATTCACCAGACCATTGGCGGGACTTCTCTGGCTATGCCATAGTTTCTTTTGAAATTAGTATTTGTGGGTTAACTTAATTAGAAATGATAGAACTCAGCGAGCACTACAAAATAATACTATTTGAAAAACTGTATCTAATCTATGAACCAAGTTTCAGAAGAAACAACTCGGAAAAAATGCCCGTCCCGAATCAGCCACATTATGGCTTAAAACTTTGTTTTTAAACAGGCTACAGTTTTTTAAATATCACCGTTTTGTAGTTCTTGTCAAGTTTTAACATATCTAATTTAGTTGGTCCGAAAATATTTATTCCAAAAGAAACTACGGCAGAACCAGCGAAGGCCCGCCAAAGGTTCGCCATAGCCCGGTCCAGTTAACAATTATACTCATACGTAGAAACTGACGGATACCAACAATCGCTTTTTCGCAGAGGCGATCTTATACAGTGCTCCACAAAATGATGCTTCCAACCTTCGCTTGCACTGAAACACCTATCTAGGTGATTGTTCGTGAAAAGGTGTCTTTTGTGTGTACTGAATTTGGAAATTTGCACTCCGGATTCTGTATTCCGGAATCCCGATTTTTGATTCCGGTTTTCTGGATCAGCTTTTTGAATGAATTAAAATGTCCCGAGAATATGGTATTCAGGTTTTCTTGATGAGCAAGAATTTTAGGAAGTTTCCAGGTGGTTACGAGAGTTTCTGTGATTCTTAGGGATTCTGAATAAACTTGGGATTTTGAAAGATTCTCCAGGATTATAAGAGACTGCCCCGGACTCCACTCTGACTACCGCGACTTTCAAAAACAAAATCTAAGATTGTCCAGAAGAAATTTCAAAGGAGAAGGCGTGATGATATGGGCTGCAAAATTATCGGAAGTCCGATCAAACTGAACTTCGTTGTCAAGAAAATGAACAGATTCGACTAATGACTCTTCGTCGCGGAATTCTGACTTTCTGGAGAAAAATCAGAAATGGGTGATTCGTATTTATAAACGATGATCTTTTCGGAAGTCGTGCAAGTCAGAGTGGAGTCCGGGGCAGTCTCTTATAATCCTGGAGAATCTTTCAAAATCCCAAGTTCTCTCGTAACCACCTGGAAACTTCCTGAAATTCTTGTTCATCAAGAACACCTGAACACCATATTCTCGGGACATTTGAATTCATTCAAAAAGCTGATCCGGAAAACCAGAATCAAAAATCCGGATTCCGGAATACAGAATCCGGAGTGCAAATTTCCAAATTCAGTACACACAATCCAGTACACATAATCCAGAATCTAAAAACCGTGATCCAGAAGTTTGGATCCGGAAATTCGGATTCCGGAATCCGGAAATACGGAAATGCGACATTCGGAATACGGTATTCAGTAAACCTGCGTTAGGATATCAGTGTATGGGGGCCAGAATCTCAAAATTCTTAAAATACAGGCCTCCAAAATGTGGCCACAGAGCTCAAAAACCTCGAAAATCTCACTTTTTCAGAGTGGAAGCATCATTTTGTGGATCGGCAAAAACGTGATTTTCGGAATTTTTCCGGTTTCTCGTTTCCGGGTCACGTTGATGGCTCCAAGCCCTCTGTACGTAGGTTTTGAAGGGAAACCTTTATTTTTCATGTTGACACCTTTTCACGAACAATGACCTAGATAGGTGTTTTAGTGCAAGCGAAGGGTGGAAGCATCATTTTGTGGAGCACTGTAGATTCATTTTTGTCTATTTCACACTCATCGTTTCCATTTTTACGAATCTCGTTCTTTATTGTTTTCCATCCATCCTGATAGTTAACAAAGCAGAACACAGAGGAGGTGATTCTGAATTCATGAAAGAAAAATCATCGTACACAACTATTTTGTGTACGAGCGCTAGGAAAAAATACACTGGACGGACCAAACGTCATTTCAGTCTGGGATTTTAGAAGCGCACTTTTTTTTGGATGCCGCCCCTACTTAATCCTGATGATCAGTTTGGAATTTTACGATTTGGATTTAAGTTGGGCTTATTTTAAAGGACCACAATCCACATTTGATTTTCTAAAGTGTGATAGCTTTACTAGAATTCGAGTTCCTAATGCAAGAGTCCACAACCTGATATCTATCATTGGAATTTCAAAATCCCTGAGCACACCTCAACAATTTTCAATCGCAAATCCGAACTTGCTCAAACTTTAGTCTTCTCATGTGACATTCCTCGTGACTTCTAGCCCCAGCTGTGTCTGAACTCATAAATCACAGCTTCTTGCAAGACCTGTACTTCTCCTAATTGGTTCTTTCCGTCACCGGAAATCACTGTCAACTCAGAACTTTCCTAGAATCTCATGTAGGCGTAAATATCAAAGTTGTAGCTGAGAATACTACAATTTCTAAGAAAAAAACTATAATTTAACACTAAAAACAGAGACATTTCTAGCTGCTGTTCTACTCAACCTATTACGTGAAACATGCTACCAGTTTCATTGAAGTTCAAATGTATGTGTGAATCATGGACGTGCGAAATCTAAACACGAAAAAAAGCTCAATTCAGATCAGATCAGAGACTCAGCTGTCTTTGTGTTGATCTGTTTGAGAATTACTTCCTCTTGAATTGTAGTTTTTTGACCAGTATCTTATTTTCTAGAATCGTCACTCCTACGCTAACACTCGCAACTAACAATTTGACTACTATAATATTTCTCCTACATCTCTTAAAAATTCTATTCAATCTGAATAGTGTCTCAATCGTCTTTCGATCTACAGATTCCGGCTAAGCAGATATAGCAGGCATGTCACGAGTAACACAGTTCTCCATTTTCTAATTTATTAGTCTTGCCCCTAGAAGCATATCTCTCTTTTCCTTCTTTTCTGAATCTTGATTGATTTATAACCCCTTTCCCTTTTCCTGCCAACCACTACCCGAGAGTTCCATAAGCTCCGCCCATTTCCAGTCCCCGGTGCTCGGGAATTCCGAGAGACCTCATTCCTAGCATCTGCTTATCCAAATTCAATTTGTCAAATCTCTATTCGCTTTTGGCATTCCACTTTCTCATTCGCTTCGTTTTCCAGGGTAAAACATACGAATCATGTCAACCCAGCTGACTTTCCTGTTGATCTTATGCGTTCTCACCACGTCGGCTGCTCTTGTTCAGTTTCCACGTAGCAATCGCTACGGATTCATCTCGTAAGTTGATTTGAAACTTTGTTAGGATCTACTCTTGATGTTGAGTATCTTTATTGCTAGCTTTAACTCATCCATCCTCGTTTAGGAGCTACGATGAACCATCTCGGGACACTATGATTGTTGAGCATAAGCGATACGATCGCAACTGCTTCTTCTCACCAGTTCAGTGCATGCTCTCCTACAATGATGTCCCACTGGTCGTCACTCGAAAGGCATCCAAGAGATTCGATCCTCTGCTCGCCAGTCTCAACAACTTCAAGTAACTCGGATTTGACATGATTCACCGATCTCCGTGCCCTTTTAAATTGTTAGAAACAACGAAAGAATTTATTACTTTGAAACGACACATTCTATTGAAAAATGATACATTATTTACTTCTTCTTCCATCTCATTTTGTCACCAAAATACCAAGATCTTCATTAAATTAAACCAAATAAATGGTTGCGACTGTTAAAACCCATTCTGTTCTTGATCTTGAAAACATTTTCAGAGATTACACGAATTTCGGCAGTGCCATTTCAGACTTTCAGACTTTAAGACTACAAACAAAGTTCTAGAAGATTATTTTTTATATCACAGAAGGAACAATTCAGAACAACAAAAAATAAGCGACTCGTGGAAAGAACACAAAATATTTATATCGAAAACAAGGTTAGAGGTAGATAATGGGTTAGAAATGAAAGAATCGGAATGTATATAAATTATTTGTACTTTTTTAGAATTTCACTTTTTGAAAAATGTGGGTCACACATTGTTATCTCGATTCGATCGGTTATCAGTTGCCTGGTTATCAGTTAGATTCCGAAGATCTCCACGTCGCATATTGACTCTTCCAAATGCTCCTCCATAGACGTCTCCATTGGCTTTCATAAATGTAGCGATTGATCGAATTGTGAAGTTATTCAAGTACTCATTTGGTACGGATCCATCAGTCTGAGTATAGAAATTTAGTAGAATATTCAAGTTAAGTCTGAAACTCACCTCATCCGGAACCATTCCGTCACTTATCATTGAAGTCTTTCGGCTAACTGAATTTGGTTGCGATTGTTGTTCTTGCGGCGATTGGCCAGTTGGGATTACTGTAGCACTGCTCCAAATTGTGTCTAATCTGTTTTCGAGCACTGTCATTGTACCTGAAAACTATTAAGAATAGTAACTTTCAGAACAACCCAGAACCCACCAAAAACGCCATTTTCCAAACAGATATAGGTAACTCTATTGACAACTTTGAGAATCGGCATTCCAAAGAAAAACATTATAGTGATTAGAGGAGAAAATGTCACATTGTTGGGCATAATATCTCCGAGACCGATAGTGGACATCGAGATGAATGAGAAGTAGAAGGCGTGGAAGAAAGAGATTCCAGAATCAGGCGGACCCGATAATTCATCGTATTCGTAAATGAACATTGTTGCAGATAAAAGATAGACTGAAGGAGACAGATTGAATTAGTAGATCTAAGCATACAGTGCGTTGTAGGTTCTCCACCCATGTTTAGGGTCATAACTTGAGTGCTGTTAGAGGTATCGGTCTAATTTTTTGAAAATCGGATTCGAGACCACAAATTAAATCTAGTGTAATTTTTGTAATGAAACCTTGAAAGCTACCCGAGTTATCTGGAAAAGTCTGAAAATATGCCATTTGCAACCGTAGCAAGTTTGTACGTCCACTCCAAAGATCAGTAGATCACAACCTCCAGCGAATTCAGAGGTGTCCAATTTTGATTCTGTACAACTAAAATCACTGTTAATCCTCTTTCTTTGAGTTTGTATCATGTCATGGGATATTTTGCCGACTGAGGCTGGTAGCTGTATAGACCAAAAAACTATCAGAAAGCAACTAAATCATTCACACTGTCATATCGACTGTTTTCTTATCCGAAAATTAACGAAAAAAACAGGATCAGCTCAAATCCTGCCCTCAAGATCCCAACCCTCAACCAGTACTGTAGTTTCAAACGTTTCAAAGTCGTGTAATGGCATCAACCAGGAGCTGAAACTTGAAGTCATCAATTGGAAGGGTTAGAGATGTCTCAAAGATGATCCAGGTATCAAAAGAGGTCGCAGCTCCGACGCCTATGGTCGCAGCTCCGACGCCTAACGTCGATCAGAAAGTACGTTGTCTCAACTTCTTTCAAAAGTGCATCGGATCCAACTGGGGGAAAGTGTTAAAGTTTAACATGTTCTACCAAAATAACCTCAGCATGAATGTTTTTCATTCTGAAAAAAGTATCTGACAAAATTATCACCGTTTGTACCACTGACATTTAATTAGATGACAAATAAAATGTTAGTGGTTCCAGTATCTTTTATCGGAACTGAGATAATTGCCCAATAAACAAAACAACAGATGGTGTGCGTTCAGTGAGATTCAACCTAGTTTTTACTCGTTCGTCCTTATTTTTTTTACTTTTTTAATGGGTTACGTAAATCTACGTTCGATTTTCGTTTTTTTTTTACTTTTCACACGTTACGGAATTAACCTTTAAATCAATATTATGTCACGCCCTCTACCTCTGTCCACGTAGAAAAATTCCACGTATTGAAAAAAGTCCTTTGAGAAATCCCACTTTTAGAATTAGTTTGATAATTTTCACTAGCACTTTTTGACTGCTCTGAAGCTCCCTGCGTAAGCTGTTTATTGTTTCATTTGCTTTTTTCTTTCGATTAGTCGGATGCGAAAAAAGTTACAAAATCCCCAAAGGGTCGCCATGTTTGGTGGTTCATGGCTAGGTGATATCATTTTCACTGAACGTCCCCCTTTTGCAAAAGACTCAATCAAAGAAAAAAAAACAAATGAACAAAAACAATAAATAGCGATCGTATAGCTTTTTAGGAGAGAAAAAGAGCTATTGAAAATTAGAAAACTGTCTCCTCGGAGACAGGGGTTTTGTGTTGGTGTTTTCCCCCAGTGAAAACCCATTTTCCCTTTCATGTACTGAGCCTCTACGTGGCGAAAGGGATCAACAGACGAAAGTCTGGCTAATCAGTACACTTTTGAAACTTGTCATTTTTCATAATTTTTGTTGATTTGTTCAGGAATATCTATATTTGAAATTTTTTCCAATTAATCCTTTTTTACATCTTCCATTTCATTTTTCTCTTTTCCAATTCCGTCTCCAAGAAGGAAGAATCAAAATTTGACACCTCCGTCTTCGCTGGAAGTTGTGATCTACTGATCTTTGGAACTTGCAACGGTCGCAAAAGGCATATTTTCAGACTTTTCCAGATAATTTAGGTAGATTTCAAGGTTTCATTACAGAAATTGTCTACTAGATATAATTTGTTGTCCCGAATCTGATTTTCAAAAATTAGACCGATACCTCTAACAGCTACCAAGTTATGTCCCTAAACATGGGTGGACGTAAGAACCTGCAACGCACTGTATATTAAACTTACATATCATAACAGAAACACTGAATTTGATTGGTAGTGAAATGATTTCATCCTCATCAAGCTTATCCACAAATCCACGGACCCTTCGAAAATTGTCAATTAGGATTGTGTACATTTTAGTAAGATAGAGGAGGGCCCATTGTCCAAGATCACGGATGACAACTGCTGTCAGAGGGACAAATATCAAACCATATAGAATTACAAGAGCTTTTCCGAGTGAAGATGCTGGAGCGATGGAACCTAAAAAATAGTGTTTTCACTTCCCAGTTATCGGACTTCGAGTTGTTCATGATTAACACCTACCGTATCCCGTCGTCGTGTAAACATTCATCGAAAAGAAGAATGCTGATCCGTATGTCCATTTTAAATTTTTCGGATCTTCATGTTTATAAAATGTACTTCCAGAGTACAAATCTTCAGCATTCAGAAGTTTGACGTAGGCACGCTGCAATTCATTCAATCAATCAAAAACTAGGAGGACGGAAAAGGACAAGAAGAAAGAGTATAAATCACGAGATTGAATAGGAGAGGAAGTTGCTTGTTTACCGTGATAAAGTATTCCATTTGAGTGATATTCGTTAACTTCATCGGGTCCAATATCTCAAGTTCCAGTGTCTGGGCGATCTCATAAATCACTCGCTCCAGTTTTCGTTTGTGAATTTGCATCGTCTTAAAAAAATGAGAATTTGAAATTATCAAAAGGTAGAATGACCAAATTCTAAATGTCCAAAGATAGATCTTCACTATGGGGATTTCGAGGACTGTAGTTTCAGCTACTTAAATAAAAAACTTTCAGCTAATTTATCTCGGCACCGGTGAAAGATATCATAAAGTGGACAATTGCCAACGTATTTTTGATAGTATTGAAAATATTTTATCAGTTGACCACTTTTTGATATCTTTTACAGGAAATGAGATATATCGGCTCAAAGTTGACTGTTTGAGAGGCATTCTATTAGGCTTTCTATTTATCTTCGATTCTTTGTTTTTTCAAACCATATCTATTATAACAGGAAGTCTCCCCAAGTCAGAAGTTATGTTTCAATGATTAATCAGAGGTCATTTCACAACAAAAATTCAAGGTGATTAGACAAATAACATTGAAGGAGATACATGAATGTACCTCGTGTTCGTGGCGTGATTCGATCGAAAAAAAGAGAGCAGCACCGAGAAGAGTGTAGGAGAGAACGAGTAGAAGCATGCAGACGTGGCGGAATCCGATCTTTTTGTGATTATGGGCAAACCAGTAAAATGACTTATGAAATCCTGGAATTCGGAAATTTTAAGGCACCCTTTCTATTTTGGTTCACCAAAAGAGGAAACTTCACATTTCAATACTCACTATTATTTACTGGAACAATCGGCATGCTCCGCGTACTCTGAGCCATAGAAAGCGTTAGTTTTCCATGTTTTTCATAATTTCTTCTCACAGCTTCATGGTTTTCCTCGTTATCCTCATCTGCATTCCCATTCACATAATACTTCGGAAAACTCGGATTTTTCTGATATATCCCTGAATTAATTTTTATTATGATGTTAAACATGTACTTAGTTTCCCTATGTGTTTTTCTTCTTTTTCATAACAAGTTCAATTTTTACACACAGAGACATTTGATAACTGACCTGTAACAGTGTAGTAGTTTTTCGCATAGTAGTTGTCAATTGCATCGTGATTGCCCGGTTCTGTGCGGTCATTATTAACACTATCTCTTTTTGTTAGTGATGACGTCTGAACGAAGAAAATAGATTATGGTCTGATAATTTAGAAGTTATCTCACCCGACTTTTCCTAAACTGACGATGGATGGTGCTCTGAAAATTTTTTTAAAAAGAAACGTTTTAGGCGAGATCAACTTACCTCATTCGATTGTGAGACGTCTTCTTTTGAGATATATGGAGATTGTCGGAGAATACTCTTGATTGGTTTCTTCAGATCTTCCGACTCGCTTCCAGTTCGGATCCGACAACTGAAATGTCTTTATCTAGTTCAAATGTTTACATCCCTACAAAAAGACCTTGACCAGTTAAACTACAGTACCCATTTTCAATACGATCATAAATAAATATTCAAAAATCGATTCCAAAATCTCACCTTGTAATAATAAAGTGCATTCCGAGACATAGAAATTCTCATGAACGTTTTTTTGTACTTTGTTTTGAAATAATGCACCTCAAGTATAAAAAGGAATCGAACGCACCCAAATGATGTGACATCAAAGAGAGATTAGATAAGAGTGATACCCGAGCTCTTATCATAAACATAGAACTATACCTATTAGAGCTAGTAGGTGCAAGATATTCAAAGAGTTACAATAACCCTTGATGTTCTTAATGGTCATTTCGGCATTTTTTGAAATGTCGGAAATTCCGAGTTTCAAATTTTCAAATTTTGAAAAAAAAATGATAAAAATTGTTGAACTTCGGAAAGAAATCCGATTTTCCAATTTCAAGTAGAAACCCTACATAATGTATTCTATCCATTTCTACGGTTAAGCCTTACCTTCTCTGTGATTTTGTATTTCTTTTCACACTGACAGCATCCTCTGCTTCTGCAGATTTTCGTTGAAATTTGACATTCTGCAATACTGTTGAAGGATCAGTTAACTATAGTGAACCTTGGAAAAAATAACTTTTCATATTCATTTTAGACAGTTTGGAAAACGATAAATATTCACCAGTATTTTCTCTGGGACATTTTCTTTCTCCGGATCAGGTGGGACCATAATTGTATCGGATGCACTCTCTTCCGAACTTTTTGATGACATCGATGAGCAGCTTTCTGTTTCTTCTATGATGCTATCTTAATTCAACGGTTGAAAACTATAAATAGCTAAAATTATAAATTTGTCTAAAACCTTCTGGCTGCAACTTTGTTCTTTTGAATTCCTTGAGAAACACTTGCGTCCCCCTGAGTGGCTGAGTTGGGGACCGTGGCATCTGAATTGATTCATTGGAGACAGACGGACCAGAATATAGATGTGGATTGTCCTATAGAGATTTTCTTCCAAAACTAGTTGTTTCTCTTCATGCTTACCGCCATTCTGTTCAATTCAAATTGAGATGGACATAGCTCGACGACTGGCATCTGGATCCTATCAGAAGAGTCTGGAAAGACGAACGTTTTCTGAGCGATAAGTAAGAGAATTAGATGATAAGAATATGAAAAAAAAAACAGAAGAGAGAAGAAGAAGCTTTTCGGAATGATTGACTTGTCGATGAGAAGAAACACGTTCCCTTTTCGGTAGAAGGGGGATGGGAAGAAAATGTAGAAAAATACAAACATCAAGTGATGAGCGACTGCAATGGTAACGCCCACTATTTAAAAAAGAATTTGCAGAATTAGTTGTAGAATTACTGTAAACATTAAATATGATAGAAAGAAGTGAAGAGGCCGGGAAGAATGCAGGAATCGATGGTATTTTGGAATTGGACAAACTTTGGTTCCTCCTCTCTGGGAATCCTTCATACCTCACTAGAAATATTTACAGTACCGGTCAATAATATATACAAAACATAATTTTCAGTTAATTTTGGGCTATTCCGACCATTTTCAGAAGCCTGGAGCTCTGATGTCTACTGTTTGATAACTTTGAAAACTTTAGAGGGTGTAAAACAGACCTAGATTGAAAACTTTGCATTTGCAGAATTTTTTTGGACATTCCTAGTTTTTCGGATATTTGCCGATTTCTGCAAGACTCTCAGAAAGAAATTAAAAAAAAGAAAGAACAAATCATTCAGTAATCAGCAAATAGTAGAAAACTATACAGTTCATGGGTGTCTGATTATACAGCAAAATGTACATATTACTGCAATTTTGGAATTCGCGAACTATCAGACAGCAATGACCCATAAAAGTTAAGCCTTCGATTTTTGAATTTACTTCTTATTCTTTCCTTTCATAGGAAATTGGAATTCAGCAAACACTGTCCAAATGTATACTTTCTTCTCAGAACGTCCCATCATGCAGAGCATCGTTTCGGATCAAAATGGCAACTTTTGATCCGATATTATTCTCATCCAAAAACGACTTTTTGATAATCTACTCACAGACAAATCTTTCTTTTTTCTTTTTCAAATGAATGTTTTTTTTAGGCCAAGAGACGGTAAAACCAAACCATCGAAGAATCGAAGATGAGAAAAAGATTCATTTTATCAGTGCGAAAAGACTTGATAACTATGACATGAGGATGATTAGGAGGACGAAGGACCGTCCTTTAACCGAATAGTATTTCCACGACACGTACTGAGAGCAAAAATCATAATTTATTTAGCAGGTAGGTAGAAGGTGATTGGTACGATAGATTACGGTATTGATGATGATGTCATAATTGAAAAATCGGAGAAAAAGAGAAAGAAAATGATTAGAATTGTTGATTGGACAGAGAGACTTTGCAGACGATGACGAGGAGTGACAAGGCGAAGAATTGGATCAGATGCACCCAAAGTTTGAGTACAAAAATTAATCGAAAAGCGGTCAGAATAAAGAAGGGAATTGTGATCAGAAGGCTATGGTCGGATAGTCTCACGATTAGGTTCATTGGCTTCAACAATAGACAGATTCACGGGGAATTCGAATGGAATTCAGAGGCTAAACTGGTAACTCAAAAACATTTTATGACATCAGATAATCCGGGACAGTAAAACAAAAACCAAATGACGAATATGGAATATTTAGAATACATAGCTCAGAGAGAACGGTGGTATTGAAACAGACTGGTGATTGGTTACTGTAGATACAGTAAAATAAGTGTAAGGTGAACAAAGTTACATTCACCATTTTCAAAAAAAAATTTGCCGTTAAACCTTTAATAGAAGGTCTTAACTCTATCAAGTTTAAGATGGTTTATCTTGTCTCTTATGTAAGATATCAAAAATTTGTCAATGTTAAACAATTTATCAGTTGGCAACTTTTTCATGTTTTTAACAGGAACGGAGATAAATTGGCTCAAAGGTAAAAGTTAAGGAGCCCATATATTACAGGTTAGAAAACAAATTGTGAAGCCAAAAAGATAAGAGTAGAAAGTTCCATTAGAAAAATAGCTTTTTAATTTTAGGTGGACCAAAAAAAACCAAATTCAAACATTTAGTTAGCCTCATACCTCAAATGTAGCTGCACCCTGAACGTTAATCTTGAGCTAAATTTTCTCAGTTTTTGGGAAAGATATTGAAAAGTTGTCAACTCAGCAATAAACTGCAGCACTTGCGCAGCATCTGTAACCCTTTTCCCCTACAGTTCCACAGCATTTGCGCAACAGGTCGACGGCTACCTGTTGCGTAAGTGATGCACAACTGTTCCGGATTTTTGCTGAGAACTAACAAAACATTCGTTGATAAAAACTAAAGCTGGTGTTAAAAATAGATTTTAAAAGTCTTTATATGAATTAGCAATTATATTCTTTATTTTAGAAAACAGCTCATTCATAAAAGAGAAAACTACAGTTTTTCCTATAAACAAGCCCACCCAAACCATCAGCTTTGAGCTCAATTATCTCAATTCTTGTGAAAGATATCAAACTTTTGTCAACTGATAAAATATTTTCAATACTATCAAAAATATTTCATCAGTTGACAAATGTTTTATATCTCTTATAGGAGGCGAGATAATTGAGTTTAAAGTTGACGGTTTGGGTGGACTTCTATAGAAGATATACAATAATATAAATTGATCACGAGTTTCAAACGAATATAACTGTTAAAATAATTTACCAATATTCAGGAAGTTAATGTCAGATTGTAGAAAATTACCGGAAATTAAAAAAAAATATAATTTTGTAAAATTTCCTTGAAAACGAAAAAAAATTACAACTCCTACAATAGATGACCAAAAAAATTGAGCCATTAGAGGAAATACATTTTTTTAAAATTTATTTTTTATTTGAAATCATTGGTTGAAAATGGAAATCATTAAACTTGGCGAAGATAAATAGTTATCAATCGTTTCGATTTTTTCTCTTCCCATCCCAATTCAGACACATGTAGACCTTCTTTTAGATTGATAAACGTTCATCAAAACATGAGAACTTATATAAAAACACGTGGTTTTTCAGAATTTCATAGCTTCCCAGTGCTGAAAATAACGAAGAGTTACCGTTGAACCTGTAACAGAAGGGCCCCCACACTATCAAGTTTGACCTCAATTATCATAATTCCTATGCAAGATATCAAAAGTGTTTCAACTGACAACAAATTTCTGATATGTTTCAACTGACAACAAATTTCTTATGGGAAAAAGTTTATCAGTTGACAACTTTTTGATATGTTTGACATGAACCGAGATAAATTGGCTTAAAGTTAGTTTCATCTGTGTAGTTATCGAAGTTCATTAAATTGACTCTTGTTGACTGGTAATGATTTGTGAAAAAAATTTAAATACTGACACAATAACTATTCAATAATAAGAATCAAAATGGAAATAAAAACAAAATCTCAAAAGAAGGACATCTGCACCGGCGACTTTATTTGGACATATTTGGTGATAATCAGAAACAAAATCGGAAAAAAAAGAAGATGGCGATGAGAAGAGAAAAGAATTAGAACAGTTTTTCTCTTCGTGATTGGTGGACAAAACGATGATAGGTTTAATTTATTACACTCAGAAAAGGAAGAAGTTTTCGAATGAAGAAATACCATCAGAAGAGTGGAGACACAGCATCAGACGATTTATTCATTGGAACAAAGAGCAGAAGATGAACCTGGATTCTTGAAATCAAAGGTAGGAAGTGTTTCTTTTTTGTGATTTTTGAAGTTTGCGAAAATCACAAAAACAAAAAAAAACTCCTCGATGAAATTTCCCATCTCTTTCTCTCGGTCATCGTTCATTCGCCAATAAAAAACGTTTTTTCGAAAATTTCTTTTTGGTTTCTTTTGCTTCTTCCACCAACTCATTCTTCCTCTTTTTCACCTTTATGTTTTTTGTCTTACCAAGATTCATTTCAGATTTAGGAAACTAGAATCAATGAGCAGTTGTCAAAGGTGATGAGTCATAAAAATGAAAAAGAAGAGTTGAAAACAGCTAGAAAAGCATTGATTTCATAATCAATCAGATAATTGGTGATTCTGGAGACACTCTCTGATCCCTCAGTCTCGTGAGATCGAAGTGGGATGATTCCTTTCTGCGTATAAATATTTCTACGAGAATGTGAAGAACATCCATTTGAATTCTGATGAAGAAATAGTTTTTTTTTTCCATATATTCTGGGCTATTTCATTCCCTTTTGTAGAATTTTCATAGCCATCCCAAAGAGGTTACAAAAAATCAGAGTTATGGAGAAGAGACGCCGGCGGCCATTGCCGAAGGTCCCATAACGACAACTACCGTAACCTAAAACTATTTTTATTTTCTGTGTTATTTTCTATTTTTTCCTCTGATATTCGTAGAGTTTCTTGTTGTTTTTTTCCCCAAAAATCGGAAAATGAAAACGTCTGGTAATGAAAAAGTTACTGAAAAGGCTCGAAGATTGAGATAATAACTCCGGAAAGTATAAATACTTTTAGGTTACGGTAGTTTTCGTTACGAGATCTATGGTCACGCCCACAAGCTTTCTTCTTCCACAGCTCTAATTTTTTGTACCAGAATAATATAATTTTTTAGCCATCACAAAGATATTGTTTATTCCGTTTCCTATAGTTGTACTAGACTTGAGAGGCCTAGTCAGAATATCGTACAAAACTACAAAAAAGAAAATCCCTGAATTCAAATATGTTTTTTTTTGTTTTATATTTTTCCAGCTATACGAACTCCAATTCTTCATCTGAACTCAGTGTAAAAAAGACCACTATTTTCTTTTTACTTCTCCATATTTGACCCGATTTTCGTTTTGTTCATATCGTTTTTAAACTGAATTCCATTCGATAATCTCTCACACCACCTTTTTCAAATCGCACAAAGTTCATTCTAAACATGAGTTTTTGTTGAATTCTCCAACGAACATAGCCAACTTTTGTTTGTTAGCGACACTTTATTTCACTCATAACAAACAATTTTATCAGTCTTCTGCCAGTGTTAGCAGCAAGTGCAAAATGACTCAAAACAAAAAGAAGAAGAAGAACATTGAGAAGAGTGGAAAACAATTACTCTTTCACAACTCTTTTTTTCCTCATTACTGGTAAGATATATCGCCGCTTCCGTCTTCTTCTTTGCTTTATATGTTAAGGCTGCCTTTAAATAGAAAAGCGTTTTTTTCCCAAAGCATATTTTCTTTTCCAATCCGTATTCTGCGCTTTAAGCTGCGAGTCTTTTCAGTACTAAAGAGTACTAAAACTGTATTGTTTTGTTTTTTCTCTTGTATTTCTTTTTATTGTGTTGATCCTCCAGCTGATCAAACATTGATTAGTCTCGAAAACAGAACGGCGCGGCCTTCTCCCGCTCTGTCTCTCGTATCAAGACAGAAAAAGCGCTCCAGTTTTTCTTGCTTGCTTCTTCCGTTCTTTATTGTTAAGCAATTGATAGCGAATTGTTTTGAAAACTGATACCTTCTGGCTCTTCTGCCAGAGCGTATTTATACGAGAGACAATTCCGATAAACAAAAGAAAAAGAAGGCAGAGGTGTATTCCCTCATATGATCTCCATTTATTGTTTATATTCATATTTTCCCATCGTCGTCCTGTTGCCTTCCATATCATATCTTTTTTTTCATTCGGCTACCAACTCGACACACACACTCAACTTTGTGTTCTAACGATAAAATAGTTCAGAACCTTGTTCTCAAACACTCTCCCACTCAAACAAAACTTTGTGTTTTCTTTTCTAATACCACCAATCGCGTGCACCTGTTTTACCTTCCTCATGAGCCGCATTCTATCGTTTCCCCCATCGAGTACACTGCAGAGTACAGTAACATCTCTGCAGGAAATTCTGCATTTTTGCGTCACGGTGTCTTCAGAGAATTCGCAATGTTCGCGAATTCTAAAAAAAAGGAGTTTCCTCATCTAAATTTTTTAAAATTAAATGTCGAATTTTTTCCGGTCAAAACCAGCAGCTTTCTATTTCTTCCTTATGAAGGTCGTATTCGCCGCTCATTCGGTGTGCCGAATTTTCATTTTTCTAACAATCGGATGTTTTTTTTCAGGATGTCGGTGACGGTGGAGATTGTCGACGAAGATTCTGGGGAAATTCAAGTAGCCGAAAAAAGAACGGAAATCGAGGATGTTAAACCAAACGGTAGGTTAACTAAAGTTTAATATATATTTTAAATATTCGACATATATTTGGAACGATTCAGCTTTCACGCAGAATTTGTTTCCATGTCGATGGTCTCATTATTAACTGGATCATTCTCGAAATTAGTTTATTTTTTTCAGCAAATGCTCTAGAAGACAACGTCGTGAGCAGCGACGAAACAACAACGACTATAGGAAATAAAATCGAGAACGCTCCAGTTAAGGAGAAAGGTACGAGTACTTCTTTGCTCTAGAAACCTAGGTCACAATGTGTAGTTTTTGGAGGGTAAATTGGCATTTAATCGCTGCTCTGTGCTCACTCGAGCAAACAGTTGCCACCTGGGTCAACAATTACTGACCGTTTAGAATTTCTAGAGGGTCTTGAAATTGAGCCAATGGGAGAATACAGTGTGAATAGCGAATAGTAATTTTAAAAAGTTATAAAAATACAATCTTATATGAATTAGTTCTGTATCAAGCTTTAAAGAGTGAGCCACTGCGCGAATACGGTTTTAGCTCTTACGGCAGTAGAAAAAATTCTTTCCTAAGAGCATTATCCAGATTACATCTTCTTCATCCGTAAACTTCTTGGGCCCGTCTTCTTCTTCTTCCAGTAAAAGCAGAACTAACCAACTTATACCTCTCAGAGCCTTCTTTGTCATCCTTCGTTGTTGCTTGCTGTAGTGTTCCACAAAAAAGGAGCGGAGCCTCCTCGTCCTTCTACTTCTTTCGTGAAAAAATAAAGAAAACCAAGAGAAACAGAGAAGCTGGGACCCTTCTAGTGAGGCTCCCCTTCTTCAGACGGCACGCTCTTTGCATCGATTCCAGAGGTCCGTGTTTCTGGGTCTCCCCACCCATCCTCCTCCCTCTATTTTATTCGGTTCCTCTCGCTTCAATCATTTGTCTGCGCCTCTCATCGGATCCTCTCTCTAACCTCAAAATGGGACGAGGAGGGGGGCACAATGCGAGAATTCCAACGTTTTAACTCCTTTTTGTAGCCATCTATGACATGGCCATCATCCTGAATATACTACATATAAGCCTATTTTCTCGTTTTTTTGACGGTCGAATGGGTTCCCTTTTCTCGTTTCCGCCACTCGTATTCGGGAATAGAAAAGTGGTTTGGGTTAAAGATACTGCTACTCTTTTTTCAAGTTCTTGTTCTAAATCTCACTCAAATTTATTTTCAAAAGTTATATATACATCTTGTTATTCTGACATAAATCCCTTGATAGAAAAACGGTTCTCGCTATTTTCCATCAACAACAATATTTGGGAAAGAAATTTCACTCAATTTTCTATTAATATATTCAATACAAAAATCGACAAGCCATGAGAGACAGAACTTCTGTCACAGAAGTTTTTGTTCATGAATTGTTCTGAACCATCACTTTTTGCGAATTAGCTGAAATTTAGTTCCTTTCATTTCTCTGTCGTATAAAATATGACCCTATGTCTTCTCTTCATTTCCTAATTGATGCAAATCGGAAACCATTCGAGAGAGAAGGAATTCTGCCCTTTTCACACCTCGACTTCTCACTCTCACTAATTGACATTGAACCACTTGAACGTTAGCAATGATGAGTATGAAGAATTCGTCATTCCACTTTTGGTTTGGCTCTACTTCAAAGTATATACGGAAATCTCGCTATATCCGCAAATTATTTCAACTATTTCTGCCTCAAGATTGTTTTTTTTCAGTCTGTGTGGGAAAATAGAAAATTTTTTGTGTTTCCCTTTCTGATCAGAATATGTTGCGGGTATAGGAGGGCAGAAACCGCAATGTCATCAACGGCGTCAAATTATCCATATCTCAGGTCTTCTTCTTCTTCTTCGATCTATCTCTTCGATTTGTTCGTTTTCTTTTTATATATTTGCATCTATAATTCTCTTTTCGAATGTTTCTTTATCATCACAAGGCATCGACCAGCATATCTTTTACCTATTTTGTTGTTTCGCCTCTGCCTTCCGCAAAGTCACTTTTTTCGCGCATTTTCCGATCGAAGGGCACATGAAATAAACGGAAACCATCTCTTTTTTCTTCCTCCTTCTGATAGTTTTTTTGTTGATGTATTGGTTTTATGTGAATTCGTTCAGAGAATCTAGGCCTACATTTTCAATCTAATAGAAGTTTCTTCTGGTTTTTCCAAGCCGAACGCCCGTGTTTTTTGTTTGCATAACCCAGAAAACGCAACCATCCGATTAAAAATACCCCACACATTTTTTAAAACTCGACAGTCTCAACTCAATTTTCGAAATTTCATTCAGGAGTATGATTTTTTAAACATTCAAAAACCCATTCACCAGTTTTTGCCGTTACATGTTTTTTGGCTATTCTCTTTATTGTCATTTTCTGATAACCACCACCTGGACATAATCCTCTTTGAGGGGTCATTCGACGACACATAAGGCCACTCTTATATGTTTATTCGCCCTAGACGGGTCCTTTTTTTCATAATCTAGATGTTCTTTTCAAGATCTTTTTTTTAATCAAAAAAAAAAGAAGGTCAAAATGTGACCTGCATTTAGCATTTAGTGTTTCCTTCTCTCGGTTTTCACTTTAGAGATCCCCTCTGCGGTGTTCCTGTTCCGACCTCTTTGACGAACTGTGTGAAGTTTACCACCTTCGAAAATCTCTAAATGATGTGATCGAAAAGAGAAACACGACTGTAACAGTTCTCTGTTGTTGCGATCCCAAATGTCAGCAGCAGCAGAAAATAACCGTATACAGATTACTTTGACTCAACACTTACCTGCTGCCGCGTCGTCGACATCACTCGAAAAAAAGAGGATTATGTAGATTTTTAGTGTGCTTACCCTTTTCGGGTAACTCTCCAAAAATATTCGGTTTTTTTTGCATTATAACGAAGGATAGCCATCACAAACTATACCTACCCCCAACACATTATTTTAACTATAATGCTTTTCCTCAATAGCTTCTGGCCTGAAGACGTCGTTGTGTCGAAAATGACCAACAAATTACACACACTTGTGTGTGTGTGTGTGGGGGACGAAATACACAGAAACATTCAACCAATTCTTCCCTCCTCTCATTTATTATGTGTGGTTTTTTTCGCTTAAAAAGAAGAAGCATAGGATTCTCGGGCTTTTTCTCGATAACCAGTGCAATTCAAAATGTATGAAACGGCAGATTTTGGAGAATTGAAAATCTTGTGTCAAATTTGTATTTTGGAAAAATTAAACTGCACTTTTAAGTCCAATAGGACACACTGAGTTTTGTTCTCTGCTCTCCTGTACAAGTTCCTGAATTTTTACCCCACTAATCTCCATTCAATTTTCCTTTTTATCCCATCAGTCCATCAGATTAAACACCTCTTCACACACTTTTTCTGATCATCACTATCACAATCATTTTTTATTCCTGGAGATCAAGAGTATTCAAATTTGAGACATTTACTTCAAATTAGTATTTTATCGAATGATTCGAGTTTAAAAAAGTGTTTTTAAACATCTATTTTCTTGGGCGTTGTAGATTTTTCTAATTTCCTTCAAGCTACTCTATTAAAACAGTATCTTCATAACTGCTCATGACTCGATACGGTGATTTCAATATCTGTGAATCTTATTCAATTCGACAGAGAAAGCTACATTTTCAAGTGAAAATATCTTACCTTTTTTGCCTAAAAATTATTTGAAGCATCATACAAAAAATTTGAAAAATCAAGAAACAATGAGAGTTTTTTGAGTGTTTATCTGGTCGAGAAAAAAGTCCCGAAGCAGAGAAAAATGATGTCTCGGGAACTGGTTCTTCTACGTTCACTTCTCTCACATCATCGTCATATTCGAATTTGCCTTCTGTATCCGCCTCACTCTCTCTTTCTCTCCTCTCGTCATAATATTCTCTTTTTCTCCCCTTTGACTATTTGGCTGACTGTAGTCGTCGCCATCGTCGTCGTCGTTGACAGAGACGTCGCCATCGCCGTAAGGGAAGATGAAAAAAACGAAGTCACTCTCTGTCTCATAATAAATTTTCTCTTTTCTGAAAGAGAGAGAAAACATACAGATAGGAAGAACCTAGACATCTAAACAATATCTTCTTTCTCTTTCTTGATTGTCACTGTTTTTTTTTGTTTCATTCTTCTTCCCTATTCTCCTTTTCATTTTCATCTGAATCTTCCCTTTCTTTTCTACTTTATACTAGCGGTTTTGGTTTATCTGTGTTTTGATCAACATAACAGTTACCTCTTCTGATTCTGAAGGCTTCAGACTCAAACAGATGGTTATAATAGTTTGATGAGCTCTATGAGCAACTGGAGGACAAAGTTTGTAAGGGTTCGGTTTGGAGGGATTTAGTGAGACGAAGAAATTCGTTTTTCTTTCGTGGAGCACGTGTTGGGTGCGGGTACCCGGCTCATTCAGTCTCTGAGCAATTTCTGGCTCCTTGAAAAAGTCTTCTTCCTTTGTTACCGTCAAAGACGAGCCTAATTTCATGGATGAACGTTACGATTCGTTCCTTCCTAGTTTTCACGGCCTCCTGTGAACTTTTGGGCATCAGTGTCCGAAGGCCATCCACTTTTTTATAAACACACATCTGCCCCTCTTCTTCTACTATTGCCAACCCTTTACTCATGTTCTATTTTGTTTATGAGATTCCATGAATTTGTATCTGTGGTGCAACTGTTTCGGTTTCCCCCACTTTCATCTAAACCATCCTATGATTTTGTTTCGAAATCCAATGTTTTTCATGACTCACTGTTTCCCGATAGTGGTGACACAATGAAAAATGTTTTTTTTTTCCATGACGTTCCTATTTTATCATTCAATATTGTTCGCCTAGGCGTTTTCTGAAAGTTACTAGGGAAGACTAAAAGAAAATCAATCGTTTCCCCATAGTCAGCTGATCCGGGCGGATCTTTCATGATGTCAACAAGGAAGTGTGAAGCGAGTACATTCCGAAATTTCGAAATTTGAAAAATGGTTCTATGAGCACAAGGCTTGCTGAGCAAGTCTTGCTCATAGTTATTTCCATATATGACACCGTAGAATAATAGTTCATCTTGCTGCTTCTGATCTTTCGCACTCGTTAATTTTTTATGTCTTATCCTACCAACCTGCCCTCTCATTTTTTCTCACTGATCTTCCGGATGGTTGGTGCCTTTGTGAGAGAGTGAGAGTGAGTGAGGTAGTGTATAGTTTACAACCACAGAAAAGATGCCCGGAGAAGAAAAAATGTGGATTAGAGGGTGATGGAATCGGAGGCGCAGACGTAGGGGAAGAACAGATATGTACAGCTGCTACTGTTGCTACTGGTCAAATCGGAATGAGAAAGCAGCACCTACTCCCCTTCGTTCCTTTCCTGTATCTCCGGAATAGAATATCGACTAATGAGTATAGTATACTGTTTGATTCGAATTGTCTCTTTTCCTTTCTAATTCTTCCTAATTCTTTCTTTCTCTCTCTTTTCGAAGAGAGAGATAGAGGAAGAGCGGAAAACAAAATGTGACATTGACTCCCCTGTCGTCCGTCTTGTCATTTCATCAGAACCTCACCTCAAGGCTGTTTTAAACTTCTTTGTCTCTCATATTAGGTCGAAGGGTCATCTCACGTGGTTTCCATTGTCTCTCTCCCAAATTCAGAAATTCTAGAATAACCTTTTTTCTGAAGTCGTGAAATTTCCTGTTTAACCGGCCTACCTCCGGCGTCTTCGGTGCATTTTACCAGAACTATGCCTTGTTAATTATCGTATCTATAGTATAGTCTTGAAATTGTTTATCAGCGTTGATAATTTCCTTCTGCGTACTGGAAATGCATCGCATTCCAGCCATCTTCCACTTCTCCAATTCCCTTTTTTTCGCATTTATCATGTGAAACTGTTTCTTTTCTTTTATGTTTCCATCAACGCTTGAAACCTTTTTAAAACATTCCTTTGCCTTATTCTTCAATCTTCGGATGGTTTTTTTTTCTTTTCTGTTGTTGTTGCTGTTTGCCCACTCAATAGAATACTGTACAAAGAATGCTCTCCTTCTTCGTCTTCTTCTTCTTCTCTTTTTCTTCTTAGTTGTCATTTCAGTCACCCTATCATAAAATGCACCTTCCCTCCCTTTAATTTAAATCATCATGTTACTTTTCCTGTTCTCTGTTATCAAGTAAAAAACTTTCAATTTTTCACCTCGTTTTTAAGCACAATCAGTTTCAGTTCGTATTACGCTCTTTTGCGTAGGTAATCTGTCCTCCTCCTTTTGTTTCTTTCTTTTTGCATATTACCCGTACAGTACAAAAGACAGTCCGTACTCCACTCCGTTTATCGGCATTTTACCTCATTCCTCTCATAATTGTTCTCTTGCCGCCGTCATCTTGCTCCTCTCTCTCTCTCCCTTTTTGCTATCATTATCAGTGCTAACCTTTTTCCGTTATCAGTGGATAATCAACTCCTCTACAAATCATGGTTTTCTGTAACTCTAATTGTCGTCGAGAATAGGGAAACATTCTCTCCTCCTCCGCAATAAATATTGCTTTTCGGATTGTCTACTTATTTGTTTGCTCAAATATTCACCCACTCCGATCTCGGCATCAAAAAAGGAATTGATAGATAAATTGTGATAAGATTCCCTTTTTGAAACAAAGGCTCTTTTGTCCCATGATTGATACATTGAATTATGAACTTTCCTTTTTTCTAAGCTTCTCTTTTTCTCCTCCAACTAAAAAACTTGATCAACCGGCATCACTGGTTTTTTCATCTTCATCGCAACAAAAGTTCAATTTCTGTCTATCCTATGGTATTTGATTATCAAGAAGTTATCACACCTCCTCCCACCGCAGACAACTTTAGACTCTTCTATTCGCTCCGTTTTGTTTACCTCCCCACAACTGGTTTGTATACAAAAATTCTGCTGGAAATAGAACAATAATTTTGATATCGAGTGATAAGATCACCTGCCCATCATCATAATCATCGAACATTGTTTCGCATGACATAGGGTCTCTCTTCTGTGTATTGAGTTATTCAAACCATTACAATTTCGACTGAAACTGTTTCGAAAAGAATTTAAAATGGTCTGGAACAGTCCGCCATATCAATACACTAATTATGGATCGATAAACGGTATGTTTTATTCAACAGAAGATGTTAGAAAATCAATAGTATTGGATAGAACAATACTAGGGTTTTTGTTTTGTATTTGCTCAAGAAATTGATGAGGAACTACTTTGCGAACTTGTTTTTCCTTGTTGCACCCATCGAACTACTGTGTCTATTGTAATTAGGCCCATTTTTTCTTTTTGCCTACAAAATGCAATCATAAAACTTTGAAAGGCGTGCAGAACAAATTTCTCCCTCTCCCGTATCGAAACAATAAACTACCGTCTTCAAAATTGCCCAGTATGCTCTCTTGATTCTATTCTCCATCATCAATATTTAATGTTTTCTCTCTTTCTGCTAATGAATTCCTTCCTATTGGAGTGTTTTAATGTTTCAAATACAGTTTTATCGAGTTTACAGTACCGGTCAATAAGATGTACAAAAAACGTTTTTTTCGCTTTGAAAATTTAGTAGGGTGCCCTCCAAAAGCCCTCTAAAGTTTTCAAAGTGATTGGAAACTTGACAGCCGAGCTTTAGACTCCTGAAAACGGTAAAAATCAGCTAAAAACATATTATTGACCGATACTGTAAGTATACATCCTGCCCATTTTTATATGTCTGGAACACCTTATTTGTATTATCAAACAGACGATATTGTCAAAAACAAAAGTATCATTTTTATTCCTTATAGAGAAACATCATTTTATACACTCACACTTCAAGCCCTTCCCTTTTTTTTCACATTGCTAACCTATATTTGTCATTTGTCACCCCATTCCGAGTCACCGCCGAGTTCACCACGCGTGCCTGGTAGAGAACTCGGCTTCCTCTCTCACCACCCATTTTTTCTTCCCATTTGCATAAGTCGGCTCCTCCTTTCGCTCTGTTTTTCGTTGCCCTATTTCCCCAGTCCCCGCTCGTGTCTTAACTTGGTGCCTATGAGACCCTGGGGAATGGTTCGAATGGAAGAGGAGTGAAGAAGAAGAATAAAAACAAAGTGAGACTGGCCTACTCGAAAAAAAAGAAACAAACAGTTTAGTAGATTCTTGCTGAAGTTCTTCAATTAACTTTTTCTGAAAATTCTATCATCTATCTTGACAAGATAATCTTTTTTTGTTTCAGACGAACACGGAGAGCAGGAGGAAGGTTCGGAAAGTGCTGCGGAAACCGTAGAGAAGCAGCACGACGACGAAGAAAAGGAAGAAGAAACTAGTGACGGTGGAGTGGCGAGCAGCCGAAGCAACCATCAGAAGAAGCAGAACGAAGAGAAAAAAAGTAGAGAAAAAATGGACGATGAAGATATTATAACCATTGCCCGGTCATCTAGACGTATCTGTGGATCAGCCGCTTCGAGCTCGGATTCTGAAACAGCCGATGACGCCCCCTGTTACCAGAAGAAGGACCTTCACACGCCGTACGACTGGATATGCCTGGCGACAAACCGGCCAGTCCACATGACCGATTCCCCAAAACACCTTTCAAGACACTCGTGGCATTTCTGATGCTTGTAGTGGCAGCGGCGGGGAACACAATTACACTATCATGGATTCATGAACGGTATCCGCTGACGGCTCCTCTACCAGATATAGTGTTCGAGTTGACCACAAAGATACCATGGGGACTTCGGTTATGTGAGAATCTGATGATAGGATCATTCGCTTCGCTTCTTGTACTTATTCTGTTCCATAGGTTTGTAAGAACATTCAGATGTTTCAAATGATTTTCTCGATTCCAGGCATCGATGGATTGTTCTCCGGCGTCTCTGTTTCATCGGATCGATTCTTTACGGTATGAGGTGTATCACTATGATGGTGACACCTGTACCAAAAGCTGATGAAGATTTTCAATGCTCGCCACGGCTTGGTGAGAACGCAACGTTCTCGTTAATAGTGATGCGAGGAATCTGGAGTATGTTCGGTTTGGGACTCAATTTATTCGACAACCAAAAAGTAGTACTTTGTGGCGACTACATCTACAGTGGACATACATTAGTTTTAGTTGTGTCGGCTCTGTTTATTGGAGAATGTGAGTTTGAAAAAGATATGGGAACTGTTTTGCAACAAATGCATTACTTTCAGATTCCCCACGGCGGTTCTACATTCTTCATTGGCTATCATGGCTTGTCTGTGCAGTCGGTGTGGTCTTTTTAGTTCTGTCCCATGGACACTACACAATTGATGTCATTCTATCGTACTTCGCGTGTACACGAGTCTTCTGGGCATACCATACACAGGCGGCGCATCCTTCCATAAGGGTAAGTTTTAGGATCCATTCATGAATTGAATCGTACTTTTTTTTTCAGCTGTCCGTACAAAACCATCAAGCGAAAGAGTTTTGGTTCCCAATGCTCCGGTGGTTCGAAGGAGACATTCGACGTCCGGTGCCACGTAGATTCGACTGCCCCATATCGTACTCCCAAGTGTGCAATGCCTTCCGGCGCGTTCGTCCGCGTGGAAGCCGGACCGGAAGTGCTCGACCGGCATTCGAATGATTTTTTCTCTCTCTCATCCCATTTTTGTACATTTCCCAGTTCCCTTCATCTCCTTGTGAAGCTAGTTTTGTTCCAACTGTCAGTAGTCTCTTTCATTTTTCAAGTTCCTTGGTTTCTCTTTATTCCTTTCCAACCCGATGATGTGCACCGGGTGTCGTCCCCTTCCCCACACGTTTTAACATGTCTCTACCAAAAAATACCGCATGTCTCTGCGCACTTTTCAATTGACATTACAGCTGCTCCGCCTTCCTTTTTTATGGGTTTCAGACAGATTTTCTTGCCTTTCAAATGGCTCCTCCGCCCTTTTTGCGTTTCTTTTTCTCATCATTCTTCCAACTTTTGAAGTTCATTTCACCCCCATCGCACACACACCAAAAATCGATTTCGTTGTATTACAATACGGGTGATCATTCTCACTCATTCTTTTTCTTCCTTCTAGTATTTTTGTCTCACATATTGTCGAATTAAAAAAAAGTGGGACCTGAGAATTTGAAAGGCGTAGCTTTTTTTGATCTACGAAAAAGCGCGGCAAAAACGTAATATTTCAGAGTTTCGCCTCGTTCGAGCTACTTTCGCAATTAAGTTCGGTTCTTCGATGAAAGACAGATTCTAGAGATGCTAGCGATCATTTTCATACCAAGAAACGTAAATTTTGTCCAGAAAATCCCACATAATTCACAGAAATAAGCTTCGTTTACTACCGTAGTGTTTTTGGGCAAGACCTCGAAAATTGACCGGGAAGCCGCCCGCGAAATTTTCCAGGTTCCACTTTTTTTAATTCGACAATAGCGCGTTTCTCTCTCTCTCTCTCTCTCTTGTCAGACACTTCTCATTCCTCTCGCCTTTGAAAAACACACTGTTCCTTTTTTAATACAAGCTTCAATAAATCAGAATAATTTCATTCGCCGGGATGATAAAAATTTCAGAGTTCGGAAAGTATTAGATAAAAAAGAATGAGATCCAGATTTTGGCTAGGATGTCAATCTAAACTTTCAATGGCTGGATAATCGTCTTTTTGAATCCTCCACAAAGTAGCTTCCATTCCTCGAAGCTCAGAGACGTCACTCCATGTGTGGAATTTCTATTCTCGGCTTGCTTTTGCTCTTCCTCCGTGGCGAAAGGTGGTTTTTCTGGAAGTATTGGAATTGGACGAACATGAAAAAGAAATTAATTCTTGCAATTTTTGATCATATTCAAAAATTTAATCACACATTTACAGTATCATCTGAGCCAGCTCAGTATCATATTTAAAGACTTACGAAGGTACGGAGCTCCATTTTCTTCCACGAGGAACAGAGTTCTATCACGCATCAGATACGAGACATAAAACATGTTTTCAACCTGAAAAATTCGATGAAATTAATGAGTGATTCCACTTCTGATCTTACTGTTCGTGAGAAGGATTCAGGATTAATCACAAATTCGAAATACGGAATTTTGTCTGTCTTCCTAGTTTTAATCTCCTTCCTGAAGATGTTCGAAACGTGCTTCAATTCGTTAGAAATGGAGACTTCTTCACTTTGGACATTGCTTGCTTTATCGTTCACTTTCACCAGCTCTCCCGTTTCCTTCTTTCTAGAGCCTCTTTCGGTTTTCTCGCGCACTTTTTTCAGTTTCTCTGCACATTCGACATCAACAAGTTGGAGTCTGAAAAAAAAAAGACATCAACAAGTTGGAGTCTGAAGAAAAAAGTGGAAATACAAGGATTAAGCCATTTACATAAAGTCACAGTCCACATTGAATGGGTAAAGTGCTGGATTGATGTAAACATCTTGCTCCTGATCGGTGTTCGTATCTGCTGACGCTGACGGATACATTTGCATTTCACGACCACAGCGATGAAAAACCGCAAGGTTTGATGCAAGACGACAGTTTTCAGCTGAAATTCAGAATTCATAGAAATTCAAAATTGATTGCATAAACTTACAAAGTCCGGAATCCCCATAGATACCATTGTAGATTTCGTCGATTTCATCCATATTCTCATCGTACAACCACTCATTGCACCAGTCAGTTTTATCTGGTTTATAATGCTTCACAGCAGAGTTAATTCGTTTCAAGGCATCAGCGACTTTCAATCCAACATCAACCGGATCGACGGCAGCACTTGAACCAATTTCCAAAAGAGTCTCACGAGCTGTGAGAGCAACAAGCTCTATCAAATCAGAGTCAATGGAGTAGAGACCAGTGTTCATAGCTTTCTGTAAAATAATTCAATTCAATTGTTATGAAACTTCGTCTTACTTTCAAAGGTTTCGACTGCTCTTTCAATGTTTCGATTGACGAATTGATTTTCTGAATCCTGATATCGACTGCTTCAGATTTTCGTATGTGTGACAGCTCAGTGACATGTTTTTTGAGTTTAGAGGACACAACATGGTTATCTCTGCACTTTTCCGAAACAGGTTTTTCTCTCCGATTCCGAAGCTTTTCGATATTTTCGGCTGAGATCTGAAAATAAGTGAGATAATTTTGATTTTTTTTTTCGAATACAAAACTTTGTTAATTGAATTCTCAAGAATGATTAATAATAAGGATTATAATCCCATTGGATTCATAACTGTGTCATTTTGAAGTGTTTTCGTTTTCAAAAGACCTAAAACTGAGAGCTTTCTCAGAAAAGGAAATGCGTTCAATTGGAACAGCAAAGCCGAAACAAAAAGAATGGAAGAACTCGGAAGAACTGACCGGTTGATTACAGAGATCTTCCGTTTCTTTTGTAGTAGTTTTCCGACGCTGGTCGCCGTCCATCTTAATCTGAAAATCTTGCTTATATTAAAATTGACACAGAATCAACATGAATACATTCAGGAAAGTTGGAAAAATGCGAGCAACATGGAACTGGAAAGCTAATAACAAACAACTGAAATTAACATTTGTAGTTCTTTTTCAAAATATTATTATATTCAAAATAGTTTCTTTAAAGGTGGGGGGACAGAAGATTTTTCGTAGTTTTTTTGTAGCTGGAGTATGCATTCTACCGTGTGTTTCCTCTTTGTCCGCGTGGCTCAGTCGGTAGCGGCGCCGCACCCTCAATCATCGCCCTCACAAGTTCAACTCCTCGAGGGGCATCTTTGAACGGAATTTCGAGAACATTATTTTTTTCATGTCCCCCCACCTTTAAAATGCTTTCGTTTTGTCGGCTTCGTTACGGTCTCAAAAGCAAAACAGTTTTTGGAAGCGGGTCGCATTTGTGCGTCGCCGTGCTTGCACACATTTCCGAATCCGCCGTGTGGAAATTTCGAGAAGCAGACACGATGGTTTTTGGATGTTCTTATGAATCTCAAACCAAGCTTCACTGATAGCCCAACTAAATCTATTGATAATCAGTTGTTTTTTGACTCAACAAAGTGAATGTCTCGTTAACAGCAGATAAAATACTTTTCACAATTCCTTACTATTTGCACTCCTGGCGTCTCAATTAGTCAGATTGTGTAATATTTCTTTATATTTTCGTTCTTATAAACTCATGAAAATCATGATTATTTATCCTTGCAGTCTTTCTACTCCTCATCCCTTTCCTTCAATCTAAACATGTCCAAGTACGGTTGCCCAACTTCTGACTGCGACCCAAACGTTGTGACTATGATCACGAAGCGTGGACCTGTCAACAAGACATTGAAGTCCGCCTCACAGCTGAATGCTGCTCAACGTTCTGGAGCTGAAATTTCGACAGAGAAAAAGACGATGTCCGGTGGAAACCGTCAACATACCGCAAACAAGAACACTCTCCGACTGGATGAAGAAACGGAAGAACTTCATCACGAGAAAGTCGCGTTATCTCTTGGAAAAGTGATGCAGCAGGCTCGCGCAACCAAAGGTTGGACCCAGAAAGATTTGTCAACGGTGAGAAAGATTCATCTCCTAAAAAAGTGTTTTATGCTTTATTTTTAGCAAATCAACGAAAAGCCGCAAGTCGTCGGCGAATACGAAAGCGGAAAAGCGGTCCCGAACCAACAAATCCTAGCCAAAATGGAAAGAGCTCTCGGCGTCAAATTGCGTGGAAAGGATATCGGAAAACCATTTGGGGCGAAGCCAGCCGCGGCTGCTAAGAAGTGAATTGCTTCTCAGCCAACTTGATTGTCACCTGGTGTCCCCCTACAATCCCCGTACTTCTCTCATCAATCCCAAAATTCCCTTTCCTCACGTCTCCTGTTTCATTGGGTATCTCGTCTCTTCTCGCCCCTCTTACCCATGCCCCGCCTTGGTTTTGTTCGAGTTTCCGGCTTTTGTTATATTTTTGTATTTATTTATATCAAACTGTTTTCTTTTCTGTTCGTCTATGGCACAGGAGAATCTCAAATAAATTTTTTTGTTTTAGGGGTTGATAATTAGTATTCTATAAAAATTGCAGTTTTCACAAGCTACTAACGTTTTTAATCGTTCATGTTGATACTTACAAATGATCACGATCTTCGAAATATAAACCTAATATCTTCAGGGTTCAAACGACCCCTGATTATGGGTGTCGACCAGTTAGTAGAATCGATTACGCCATACAATTTACGCCCGATAGCAGCTCATTTATATGTTCCTCCATTTGCTGGTAAATTTTTATAGAATTTAGGCTTATAAGATTAGATTGGAGATTTACTTAGATATCTGTGATTAATTTAGCCTGAAAATCGTCCCAGCTTTCATTTAAGTACTTTTACAGTCATCACCTCTATCTGGACATATGCTTGGCTGACTAACTTTGGATATGACGAGTATTATGAACTCGGAATGGTCGGATATGCCGTCATTTTCGTATTACTGGCACTTGTGTTACTATTCTGTCATTGGCTAATGCCAGTGAGATGTTTTTTCATGTGCTCCGAGCAGAGCGATGTTCGGAAATCATCCCATGTATGCGTCCAACCAACACAGAATAATGGATGGCCAGAACTAGTTCTGCTGAATAGAACAAAAGTAAATATCTTTGATTCAATTGGTTATGCCGCGTTCAAAGTAGACTCCAGGAACTGGAAATTGCGTCCAAAGCTGCCAATTTTTCCAGGTTTTCCAGGAGCACGAAACTCCGATTTTCCGCGTTGTAGCTGTGTTAATTTTTCGAGGTCCGCTGTAAATTAACAAGAAACTTTCTTTTTTTGGACCTCGAATTGATGTCGAAGAAAAAAACACAGCTACAACGAGGGGAATCGAAGTTTTGAGTCCATGGAAAACCTGGAAAAATTAACAGCTTTGGACGCAATTTCCAGTTCCTGGAGGCTACTTTGAACGCGGCATTAAAAATATCATAATTTTATAGAGAGATCAACAGACGAAGTTATGGTTTGAGTTTCAACGAGTTCATTACACCTGGGAAGAAGAAACCGGAAGTTTCCAAACGAAAACGCTGGATATTTCGAAGCCAATGGAATTTTTCCAAAAAAATTTTGGATTCGAAACAGAAGATCAAGTGAAAGAAGCGAAATATCTTCTGGGTGATAATAAAACTGAGATGGTCGTTCCACAGTTTTTGGAGATGTTCATCGAAAGAGCCACTGCTCCGTTTTTTGTTTTCCAAGTTTTCTGTGTTGGTCTGTGGTGTCTCGAGGATATGTGGTATTACTCTCTGTTCACACTTTTCATGCTTATGACCTTCGAAGCAACTCTTGTGAAACAACAAATGAAAAATATGTCGGAGATTCGAAATATGGGAAATAAAACGTATATGATCAGTGTGCTGCGCGGCAAGAAATGGATGAAGATAAAGACTGAAGAGCTCGTTGCTGGAGACATTGTATCAATTGGAAGAGGTGGAGAAGATGAATGTGTTCCATGCGATCTGCTACTGTTAAGAGGACCTTGCATCGTGGATGAATCAATGTTAACTGGAGAAAGTGTACCACAAATGAAAGAACCGATAGAAGATGTTGAAAAATCAAAGGTTTTCGATATCGATAACGACAGCAGACTTCATGTTATTTTTGGAGGAACAAAGATCGTGCAACACACTGCTCCTGGAAAAGCTGCCGAGGGAATGGTAATTTTAAAAATATTATGATCAAGACAAACAAAACACATTTTTCAGGTGAAATCACCAGATGGAAACTGTATATGCTATGTCATTCGCACTGGTTTCAATACTTCTCAGGGCAAACTTCTCCGTACTATTATGTTCGGTGTCAAGAAAGCAACAGCAAACAATCTGGAAACTTTCTGCTTCATTCTTTTCCTTCTCATCTTCGCAATTGCTGCGGCAGCATATCTCTGGATCAAGGGATCAGTAGATGAAACCAGAAGCAAGTACAAGTTATTCCTGGAATGCACTCTTATTCTTACATCGGTCATCCCTCCTGAGCTCCCCATCGAACTATCTCTCGCCGTCAATTCTTCACTGATGGCACTTCAAAAGCTAGGAATCTTCTGCACAGAACCATTCAGAATTCCATTCGCTGGAAAAGTTGATATTTGTTGTTTTGATAAAACTGGAACCCTGACAACGGATAATTTGGTCGTAGAAGGAGTAGCGCTGAACAATCAGAAAGAGGGAATGATCCGTAAAGTGGAAGATCTACCGTTGCAAAGTCTACAAGTTCTTGCTTCCTGCCACAGTCTGGTTAGATTTGACGAGGACTTGGTTGGAGATCCCCTCGAAAAAGCTTGTCTGTCTTGGTGTGACTGGATTTTAACGAAAGGAGACGCTGTAATGCCTCCAAAATCACAAAAAGGAATCACCGGTATCAAAATCTTCCATCGATATCACTTTTCGTCAGCCTTGAAACGAATGACAGTAGTTGCCGGTTATCAAGCATCCGGAACTGCCGATACTGTTTTTATATCTGCTGTCAAGGGAGCTCCGGAAGTTCTTAGAAATATGGTGAGTGAAAGTTGTTACGCCTTCTCACTTAATTTATTATTTTCAGTACACTGAACTTCCTGCTGATTACGATGAAACCTACATGCGTCTCACCAGACAAGGAGCTCGTGTTCTTGCAATGGGAACCCGTAAATTAGGAGAAACTCGTGTTGGAGAACTACGAGAGAAAAAACGGGAAAGTTTCGAAAACGACCTTACTTTTGCTGGATTTGTCGTCATCTCTTGTCCCTTAAAAACCGACACCAAATCGATGATTCGTGAAATCATCGATAGTTCTCATGCAGTCGTGATGATCACAGGAGACAATCCTCTGACCGCTTGTCATGTTGCAAAAGTTCTTAAATTCACAAAAAAATATTCACAAACTTTGGTTCTTGATGAGCCCGAGAACGGCGTCGATTGGATTTGGAAATCGGTTGATGGAACTATAGAGCTTCCATTGAAACCGAAAACTACGAACAAATTAGAAAGGAAAGCGTTTTTCACATCTCATGAATTTTGTCTCACTGGTTCTGCATTTCATAATTTGGTCCATAATGAGCACACTTTCCTTCGAGAATTGATTCTTCATGTCAAAGTGTTTGCGAGAATGGCTCCAAAGCAAAAGGAACGAGTTATCAATGAACTGAAGTCTCTGGGGAAAGTGACACTGATGTGTGGAGATGGTACAAACGATGTCGGGGCTTTAAAACATTCGAATGTTGGAGTTGCTTTGCTCACGAATCCGTACGATGCTGACAAGGCGGCAGAGCTCGAAAAAGAAAGAAAAGCCAAAATCGAAGAAGCCAAGTCATTGGTTCGTAGTGGTGCTACTATTCCTCCTCGTGCCAATTCTCCCGGATCCCCTCCACCACCTAATCAGTCTCGTCGTGATGCTCCACCCGGTGCACGTGCCAGAACAGCTCCAAGTCCAATGAATAACCCAGCTCAGGCTCGGCTGGAAAGTTTAATGAAGGAGTTGGAAGACGAAGAGAAAGCAATGGTAATCAAGTTAGGAGATGCTTCAATCGCAGCACCATTCACCAGTAAATATACCTCAATTGCATCAAGTAAGCTGTACTTTAGGCCTGTATGTTATGAATAACCTAAATTTCCAGTTTGTCATGTCATCAAGCAAGGACGATGTACATTGGTCACTACACTCCAGATGTTCAAAATCTTGGCTCTCAATGCTCTTGTTTCTGCTTACTCGCTTTCTGCTCTATATCTCGATGGTGTCAAGTTCAGTGACACTCAAGCAACTATTCAAGGTCTTCTTCTCGCTGCTTGTTTCCTATTTATTTCCAAGTCGAAAGTGTGTGATCAAACAACTTTTCCATTTATATCCGAATTTCAGCCTCTGAAAACACTATCACGACAGCGTCCAATGGCTAACATTTTCAATGCCTATACTCTTCTCACTGTGACACTTCAATTCATTGTCCATTTTTCGTGCCTCTTATATATCGTTGGACTGGCGCATGAAGCTGATCCAAAGTAAGTTTTGCGTCACAGAAGAGTACAAGAGGGGTTGCCTCATTGCAATTCGTCTACACGCACATTGCCCGCCGGCGCAACCAATATCAAACACACTCTGCGCCTCTACTGGCCGTTGCCGAGTGGTCGACTGGTTAGCGCGCACACTTTGCCCTCGACCATCGCTAGTTCGACCCCCGCGTAGAGACTTATAGGCGGATAGGAACCAGGTCATGTTTGTATGTGATTTGGGCCGACATCCCCGCCGAAAGAAATTCGTGAAGATCTAAGGTCGCTTCTGGATGGATTTGCCACCGGGTGCACACCATCTTCATGTACAATTTTACATTTTTTTAGGGTTGGACCAGCGGATCTTGAGGCCAAATTCACACCAAACATCCTAAACACCACCGTCTATATCATTTCGATGGCGCTTCAAGTATGCACTTTTGCCGTTAATTATCGAGGAAGACCTTTCATGGAGTCACTGTTCGAAAATAAAGCAATGCTCTACAGCATTATGTTCTCTGGAAGTGCTGTATTTACACTGGCTAGCGGGCAAGCAACGGATCTTATGAACCAATTCGAGTTGGTCGTACTTCCTGAGCAAGTGAGTTCTATTTTTCGCATTTTTATCAATTCACGATTTCTTTTTCAGCTTCGAAACGCTCTCCTGATGTGTGTCTCGGCGGATCTTGTCATGTGCTATCTTATTGATCGTGGGCTCAACTTCTTCCTTGGGGATATGTTTTAGGTTTTTCCTTTTTATCTTCGATCCTTGACATTCCTTTATAATCGAAATTTCATTTGCCATCAATGTCCCTTTAATTTATTAAATTATTGTCTCTTCTGGTTGTTTTCCGCTTGATTTCGATTATTTGTCCTATCCTATTTTACCAAAGCTGTCCCAAATAGGAAATAGCCAATTTTTCATTTCAGAGCATAATGCTGTCTGTGATATTCAACATGCCATTTGTTGAGATAAATTCGGTTTCATTCTTTTTTAACAAGCATAGCAAAATTAAATTATAGTACAATTTAGAAGATATAGTTATCACTTGTAGAATTATCGAGCCTTGCTCACTCGGTAGGCTAAACCAAGATATCCGATGGAGTAGAATACGAGGATGAATGCGGACATAATTACGAGATCGGGATAGAACATATCGGCATGGAAAGACAACTGAGACAGAACAGAGTCGCGTTTCTGAAAAGATCTGATGGAGATTATGAGAAATAGCGACACAAACCGCTTCAGTCCAAATGGTACTGTTTGGCTCGTTGACACTGCTCCATTGATTGATTGCGAAAGCTTCGAAACCGTATCTGTAATTCACAGAAATCTGGAAAATAAAGTTCTCAATAATCTTACCTAAACCAAGATAGGTACTGAATCCATGAAATGTACGAGGGCAAGGCACCGACATTCGCGTAGAGTCCACCAGTTAACGATAGAAGAGTAAGTAATGGACCAGCAGTGGACATGGCAATCTGAAACAGTTAATTAATAAATTCAATTGAAGATTTGAACAAACCGGAAGAGAAGGTGAAATGCAAGAAATCATAATTCCGCATGCAGAAGAGGATTGCTCGATGAGGAAGGCAATGAGACAAGCAAAGAGTACCTTTAAACAATAGGCGATATAGTTGGAATGGCAGTATTTTATTACCTGAACCAGAGAGTTTGAGAAACCGACGAGCCAATACGAAACGAGAAGCATAATCAGACCATCAGCAGTGAAAAGAGGAAGATACGAAAGACAACGGGCCACATAATATGAGAAAACGGAATAGAGACCATCATGGTATTCACGAGAGACTAATGGAAAATCGGTTGGAAGAAAATTCAGAATACCAAAGATTGTAGAATAGGTCAGCTCGCAAACTAGATAGAAAAGTGCTCCATTCAAATTTGAAATTCCGATCGATGTCAATGGACTCTGCAAAGTTGGATTCAGTTTGCATGATTTTTTGAAAAACTACCTGAAGATACAGTAATCCTACGAACAATCCCATAATACTTTTTTGAATCACTTTGGCTCTCGTCAGTGATGGATTCCTCCACGTGTCGATTGCTGATCTTTGTAAAAGAGCTCCGATTTGTGTCAGTATTCCAGTCTTTCTCCGTTCTGATGGTCTCTGTCCTTCATCAGTCTTCTCAACACCAATCTTCAACGTACGACCATATGAGCTGTATTTTGAAAAATATAAAAAATTTTTTTAGAAAAACAATCCACCTGTTTTGAAATTTTGTACAAATAACTTCAATTCTCTGTCGACACTTATCCTCTTCATTTGGCATAACTGCGAGAGTATGAATGATTAAATCGGCTGGATTGAAGTTTCGCGGGCATGTGAATCCAGCATCTTCGAAGAACTGAAAGAAGTCATTGGAAATCGATCTAATGAGTCTGGTTTCAACCTGAATTGCGTCTTTCGGTGATCCTAAGAATGCTGTCTTTCCTCCAGCCATGAACATAACCCTATCGAACATTAGGTACAGTTGCGAGGAAGGTTGATGAATAGTGCATATGACAGTTCTTCCGGATTTCGCCAGAGTGGAGAGGACTTGAACAACACTTTCAGCCATAAAAGAATCGAGTCCAGTTGTTGGCTCATCACAGAAGAGTACGGATGGATTTGAAAGAAGCTCACATGCAAATGTTAGACGACGCATTTCACCACCCGAAATTCCTTTTTGCCCTCCGATAGCTCCGATTCTTGTGTTCTGACACTTATATAATCCCAATTGAGACATTACGTTCGCTACTCGACGCCTCCGTTTATCAGCATCACCATTCACACGTAGTTTTGCCTGAATGTCCAGGTACTCTTTCACAGTTAACGTTCCCACAAAGAGTTCATCTTGTTGCGCATATCCTGAAATCGCAGTGATTCTTCGACCCAACTGAAAAGACTTTGGAAACTCATTACACGTCTGTGTTGTCGTAAATACTGTAATTGAAGCGCATGCGCTTTTTTTAAAAGAAGTTTGCTTCAATTACAGTATTTTCGATATTTCCATTACCTCATGACCGTTCACTTTAACACTTCCATTCGTATCGAGTCCTTTCAAGTTTCGGGAAAGTAGCATATTCAATAGAGTTGTTTTTCCGGCACCACTGAACCAGTTGAATATTCTCCTAATTCACAAAAAGTAACTCACCTGGCTCCCATCAACGCTAGCAATTGCCCGGGCTTGGCAATACCAGACACATTTTCGAGAATTCGTTTTCCAGACTTTCGAGCTTGAATTCTGAAACAAATTGTTATTTACAGACTTGTAGAACTTTACTGCTGACTCACGAAATATTGTGCCAGGTTAACGTCACAGGATCGACAGCTTCGAGTGCCGAAATCATTGATGGCGCAGCGCCATATTCAGATTGTCCGACCGACAAGAGACTACATGTCTCCGTCGCCATAATTAATCTGAAATTTGAGTATTTTGTGTTGAAATTTGATTAGTTTTTCAATAAAAATAGACGAAATTCAATAAATTCGCGAAAATGCGATCAGAAACCGTATTAAAAAGGCACATGCATTATTTTGTTTGGAAGTCTCGTCACGGTTGTCATACTGTAGTTTTAAAATTATTTACATATTCTTATCCAGACAAGAAAGCTGTTCAAAATTCAAAAAGCGAAGAAAGGAAAATCAATTTTCATCTAGTAAACAGTGGTTGGTTTGAACGAATAATATTTGGGTGTCTGATGGTAAAACACAAATTTATTTGATAACAAAGATAAGGTGCATGAGACGGACAATACTATTTGAACACACAACAACCATCGGATGATAAGATACTTATCGGCGTGACCTTCTATTGACCCGAATGAGATTGGTGTACAGGACTTGGTAGCTTCTGAAATTTAACCTGAAACCCTTCAACCAGTTGGAATTCGAATTGTGCAAAAAACGAATTCTTGAACCACATGATATTTGATGTCGTTTTTGTCTGTTTCATTCATTTTTTTCTTCAGAAACCAAAAAAGCACTTGCTCCCACTCTTGGCACCACACGAGAAAAAATTTTCAGAATACCCCCCCCCCCCCTTTATGGTTGGCTGAAATTCGATACATTTCGTCACAAACATGCGCCTTCTCTCTCGAATGGAAGAAGCAAAGATGGGCGTCAAAAATGTCCAATGTCCTAATTGATTTCCGCTCATTCTTTTTCATTTTTTTTTTGCTTCGTGACTCCCGACAGGTTTTGGAACATTGTCCCTTTTTATGAGCCGTGAACAACTGCATAAGCAGCGGATTACCGTAATCTAAGGGAAACTAGATTGTAACGCAACAGACACCAATAAACGAATATTCATTCCTGGTTTTTGTGATCTCTTGTTGTTTCTCTATTCAAAATAAAATCATCTTCATCATCTTATGAAATTGTTTGCTCAAGTTCTCCGCATCAATTCTGGATTAAAATATAGAATTGCTTCATCTTCTTTTTGGTCTCTTCCTTCCCCGAGGGGATTTTCTATCCTAAAAATTAAAAGATTTTTCTTTTCATTTTCGTTCCGCCCTTTTTAGTTCTCGAAACTTCTTCATAGATCCTTCTTATTTCCACGTATCTCCCAACGCATCACGACGTCTCCTCTACATTTGTCCACGTCTTCGTCGTATTCAGAATACATGTCGTCGTCGTTCTCAACCGATTTCGACGCTTCGAACATGTTGAAACCATCAAGTTCTCAGATGTTCGGACCTATTGATATTCATTTGCCACGTAAAGATTCTCGCCATCACCATCATATGAGGAATCTTCGAGCTAGATTGGCACCTGAGAGACTCTGTTTTGGAACAATGCGACCACAAACCGCTGCTTATTTGATATGTATTGCAGCTCTTCATGAGATTACATTTGGTCAGTTTCAATAATTCTTATGTATAAGCTTGAATCAAATATTTTGTGCCCACTAGAATCATTCAGGATGACTTAATTACCCGGACTAAAGTTTCTACTAGCATAAAATTTGACTAAAGCGTTGTACAGAGCTGAAACCTTGAGTGCGAGAAGTCAAATAACTCCTCAGTAACCTGACAAAGTTTCAAATAATCTGGTCAACTTTGAGCTGAGTTATCACTTGTCAAAGTTGCTTCATCTCATGAAAATCACAACGTCATGCAAGGACCATTAGGACTTTCTTCTTTGAACTGTCATAACAAAAAATAGACTTGAGGAATCGCTTTGAAAATTTCAGTAGATTTTAATCAAACGTAAAATTATATTTCTACCAATTTTCGTGTTTTCAAAGTACCTTTGTCTAAAGATATGCCCGTTTTTATCAGTCCGGGTAATTTCCTGTATCTTATAGTTTTTTGAAAAAAGGAATAAAAAATTAGTAGTTTCCTTTCATTTTGAATAATAACGAATGTTATCATGGAAGATATTTTTAACTTCATCTTTGTATGACGTTGACTTCGTCATTCTATCCACTTTGATATTCAAAGTATGAAGGTTTTCAAAGGTTGCGTTTTTTCGAAATCGTTGAACATTAATCTGAATAAAGTGTACGAGATATTTCAGAAGATTCAATGAAACTTTTAAAATGCACTTTTAGTTTAGTTTTTGATCGATCAAAACGGTAAAAACATGAGATCATCTCAGATATGATTACACTATAAGAATCTCAGCGGATCTCAATGATATCCCAGAGATATTCTTCTCAATAACAACTCAAATTCATTTTCCAGGGACATTCCTAGTGTTTGCAAGTGATTATGGAGAGAAAGAGAGCTGGTATCACAGTGCTCAATGGCTCGTAATTCTCACTTGTCGCCTTCTACAGTACCCATCTTGTCTCATTGCACTTTTTGGAATTCGGAACAACAACCCAGCACTCATCGTTCCATTCATGTTGTCACAGGTCTAGGAAAACTTGATTTTCAATTTTTTTGAAATTATAATTTCAGGTGTCACTTGGAAGCTATGCAGATCTCCACACCTACATCCAGATGGTATCCAAGTGTGCTCCATCGGCACCTCTTCCAACTACATCGCCCATTGTTTTGATTGTTATTCCAATTCTTGTTTATGCTGGTATTCTCATGTTTTTCATTTATAACATGTACATGGTTGTCAAATGTATTACAGTAATCCGTGGAGATATTGGAAGAGGTCTGGAGGGACCACAACCATCAGAAAGATCCATTAATGATGACTTGTTTTTGTAAATAAACGTTTGCCTTTTTGGTTTCCCTGAAACAATCTCAAGAGAGAAATAATTTATTGTCTATAAACCCGGTAAAATATCACATATGAAAACAAAAAAAAATCAATTACAACAGTTGGTCACCAGCCCGATAATCGTTTTCAGCAATCGAGATTTTTGTTTTATTCGATTGGATTTCGGTGTCCTTTCTGACCTGAAAAAGAGGGTGACTGTAATTTCTTTGATCTTTTCATACCTCTGAGAAATTATTCGGATACGCAACCATTTTACTCGTGGATGATGGTTTTTTCTTGATCAATCTTGCTTCATCGTTGTTTCCTTTGAAAAGTGTTGTGATACTGGTACGGAATTGAGGATTGAACCATGAATAGATGATGGGATTCAGTACTGCAGAGCACATTGCACACACGTGGCAAAGGGCGAAAACTGTAGAGTACCATTTGGTAGTGGAGATTCCGAATAGATCCCGATACAGGTTGACAGCATTGAATGGCATCCAGGCGAGAACGAATCCAACAACCATGACAATCATCATTCTGTAAATTTGTTTCGTTGGTTTTTTAAAAGTTAGAGGGACATGAAAAAATTATTTTGTCGAATTTCCGTAACATCTGTATTAGAAGAGCCGGCCCTTCTATTGTTTCAAGGTACTTCAGAAGGGCCCTTCTATTTTCCGGCAGTTTTTTCCGAAATCTTTCATTGAAAAATTTCACCGGAATTGAGCAAGAGTTTGAGCCAAAAAGTGGTTTTTCAACAAATTTATGTGAAATAGAAGGTATTTCCGGCATATTTCTCCCTACAAACGTACGGAATCTATTAATTTCCAACACCGCTTTTTGATGGGGGCCCTTCTAATACAGACGGTACTTCTGTTTCTCTAACCCCTCTCGGAGGGCCCTTCTATTAGAGGGGCCCTACTATTAAAGAAAAACCTTCTAATACATGTTTTACGGTACGCCTCTAGAGGGGTTACGCCTCTAGAGGGGTTGAGCTTGTGAACCCAACGCTGGATACCAGCTGAGCTACTGTGGCGCAAGCCGAACGATGGGTAGATAAAAGCGGCAATATAGCAACGCTCTGTACACCGTTTTGTCAGGAATCTGACCCTGGATACACACTCTAACCCCAGAAAAACGAAAAACTCCCAAAAAAATCTCCTGTCCCCCTTCCTTTAAATTTCAAGATTTTTCGAAGAATTCAGATATTTATTTTTGTGTTCTTCTTCCTGTGACGATCAAGTTGTCATCTATATGATCATCATTCATGCATACCAGAGTGGCTATCATAGTGTGACTCTCTTTTGTTTTCCTTTAAAAAATACGTGACTCTTATATTCCCATTGGGAGTTCCTGGTCTTGCAAATTCCGGAATATCTATGTTGTCTATAGACCTCCTTTAAACGCTATTATGCAAAGTAATTGATGGCCAATATATATAAAAAGAGGCTCTTGTTTCAATTTGTTTTTCCTTTCAAGGAATCAAGAACTACTAACCGATTTGCTCGATTCTTTCGATTTACAAGTTTCTCTTCAGATTCTGGTCGTATGTTGTGTCCTCTTCTTCTTTCTAATTGACTCGACATCACTTGACTAATCATCCAATAGCATATTGAACTGATAAATGCCGGAATTCCAAACTGCAAAACCAAAACCGAAAGACCATAAGCCCTGCGAATCCCAGATCGTCCAGTGTCTTGATTGAAGTCAGGCCTAGAAAAAAAACGCGAGAATAATTGGGATAATTATGTGGGAGAGAGATGCGAAAGAGAGCTCTGCATAATTGACCAAATCAATGGAAGTGACGCACCAATTTTCTTCGCAGAATGTGCCACAAATTTCTTCGTAGACTGTGATGTTGCTGTAGATTCCGACGGGCAGAGCCAAACAGTATCCGAGAAGCCAAATACAAAAGACTATGAAGACGGCACGTGGAAAGTTGACTATCTGAAACTATTCAAGTTTCCAAAAAAAAATCCAAGCATTATTATTAATTGATGACTTCTATGCTCAAAAATAGAAGGTTTCGTTCTGAGAATATTTCAAACAAGTTGTCAGTAAACAAGTAAAGAGAGGTTTTACTTGGAATGCATTACGGAAAATGATAAAAAAGAAAAAAGAAGAAAAAAAAGAAGAAAAAAAAGAAGAAGAAGAACGCCTTCCAAAGCTCATCCAATTTTGGGTCAAACAAAAAAGCAAGTTATTTTTCGGGGATTTTTTTGTTCATGTTATGACATACCTCTTGATTTGGTCGAAGGATCAAAACACATCTATCCAATGCAATAACAGTAAGAGTGAACGATGAAACGAAGATTGTTCCTCCCTGAAAATCGGAATTTTATAAGACTGAAATTGCGGAATCGCATTCTATAACTTTAATGGTAAGGTCTCACCCAAACCGCCAGCTTTGACCCTATAAATCTCATTTCCTGTGAAAGATATCAATAAGTGGTCTACTAATAAAATGTTTATCATAATATCAGCAACATTTTATTCGTTAACCACTTTTCAATATCTCTTACGAGAACCGATTAAAATTAGGTCAAACTTGACAGGGTGGGGGCTCTTCTATTACAGGTTTTACGTTATGATTTTCAGGTGGAACTTTCTTCAGTAACTCAAAACACAATTATTTGTTCCTAGACATTGAATACAACTAATAATCACCTGGAAGACTCCAATGAGTTTGCAGAATATCGATGGAAATACCCAAACTCTTGAAAATATCGAAATCGCGGTGATTGGAAGTGAAAATAGACACATAAGAAGATCGGAACCAGCGAGACATCCAACGAATACTGTTCTGACAGATAGTGACACCTGAAAACGTTTCAGTTCATAATTGGTATAGTGATGACGTGGAAGATAATTGATTGTACTTCCAATTAGGAATCCGAAGAGAGGTGTTTGATTTATCAAGGAAACCGATGAATGGGTGGGGGAAGAAGGAAAACCGGAAATTTGAGAAATCCAAAAACAAGCTTCTAAGGAAAAGAGCTGCATGGAGGGAAAGATGTCGCCAGAGCACAAATTAAATGAGTAACCCCTTTTTTGATTTGGAAAAAAAAAAGAAATATCGAAGTCGTTCTGGAGTTCGTTTCTAGTTACGTCACTGATTTCTAAGTAGGCTCACTGAAGTTACAGGAATATAACTTTCTAAGAACCTTTATTTAGATGATCCTGACTCAGATAAAGATTCTAAAGACGTCTTTGTTTTGAATAAATCTGCTTACCTGATTGAAAGTGAGTACATAGAGAACAAGCGTATTTCCAACAATTGCAGCTACCCAAACGATAAGATATAATACTGAGAAGATTGCCCGAATCTCGTTCATATCATTGTATTCCGGTTGGTATTCTTGCACTGTCACACAATTTCGGCCCTCCATTTGGATTTCTGAAAAAAGATTTTGGTTAAGAATATGCTAAAAATGCGAAATACGTGCGAGAATTCAATATGGTCCGACCTGTAATAGAAGGGCCCTCCACCTTGTCCAGTTTAAGCTCAATTATCTCAATCCCTATGCAAGATATCAAAAATGTGTCAACTGGTAAAATACTGTTGATATTATGATAAGCATTTTATCAGTTTCGATATCTTTGACTGGAAGCGAGATAAAATGTCTCAAAATTGACAGTCGCCCTTCTATTACATGATTCACGATAAATGTTATATTTCTATCGGACAAAAAACGGAAAGATCTTCGAAAATCTCAATTCAGAATGACGCTCGTGGCAAGAATCTTCAAATGAAATTGGCTTGATTAATACAAAAAGCAACAAAACAACAGCTGAAAAGAAACCTATGAGCCTAGATGGATCCTTTTCATAGACACGTGCCACTTGATTCGATATCTGTCTAGTAGCTGTTACAAAAGAATCTGACATGTATAATCAGTGTCTCAACCCAAAAAAAGGAAAAAGAAGTGAGTCACAAACAACTACACAAAAAAAGAACTTGGCCGAACAAGATCAAGCTTGATGCATAAGGCTTCTTCCTTCCGTCCCTCCCTCCTCCCTGAGCAAAGAAATGGGGGCGGGGCTTAGGAGCTTTAGCTTTCAGAAAGAGAGTCTTAAACATGTGTGTTTCACTTTTCTTCTTCGTCGTTCTTCTCCTTTTTTCTGACACACAGACCCAGTTATTACTGGAAAACGGAAGAATATTGTGGGGATGTGTGGGAGTGGAGAAAAAACGGAGAATAGGCAAACGGAAACAGGAGAAGGGTGCAAACTAATTTCCATTTTTCCGACCGACTTATTTCCTATGTCTTTACTAATAACTGAAAGACAACACAAGTGAATAACATATGAGAAGAGAACAAGAATAAGGAGCAAAAGAAGAAGCTGTTTCAATTACACGATGACTTCTTCAGCGTTTCTTCTTCTTTGTAGTCGTTTCTCTTCTTTTTGCTTCTTATCCTTCTAGTCCACTTCATTTTTGTCACGAAACAAGAATAGGCAAATGTGACAAATGGATGTTTGAGCCTTCTTGCCCGAGTGAGCAGGCTGCATGAATATGGGTTACTGTAGAAAGCTAAATGTTAAATACCCGAGGGATACAATAGTTTTTAACAGTACATTGTCAACTTTGAGCTAATTTTTCTTGGCTTCTATGCAATTTATCGAAAATGTGTCAACTGATAAAATATTTTTGATATTATTATGAACACTTTATCAGTTGATAACTTTTTTATGTCATCGACAGGAGACAATATAAATTGGCTCAACGTTGAAAGTTATGGTTCCCTTCTATTACAGGTTTTACGGTATTAAATCTGGAGCAAAAAAAGACAAGGGATAAAAAACCTGTAATAGAAGTGTCCCTCTTTTTTCAAACTTTGAGCCAATTCATCTCTGTTTATCATAAAACCAAAAGTGTTGTTGACATACTTTTGATACCATGCCAAGGAAAACTAGCTCAACAAGTGCGGACAAGTGCTGTAAACCTCCACTGAAAGGTTACTGTAGTTGGAAGCAAAAACTAAAAAAATACTTAATTTTTTGATTTACTATGAAATCACTTTGCTGGCAAATCCTATCAGGAATCATAGCAAAAGTAAATGAGTCGTTTTTAAGATGAACAAATCAAACCACTGTTCCTATCTCATCTCTCCAATTTTTTAATCAATTTTGTTGAAAATCTGGTATTCGTAGAACATAAAACCATCCCTAGAGATGAAGAATATCTAAGAAACACAAAACTATCTAGAAAACAAGAACTGTTTTCATGTCCTATCCATTTTTCAAACATCATATCCCTACTAAAATATTGGTCCCGATAATGAAAAAAAATCATTTAACTATCTAAACAAAACAACTCCAGTTGTTTTTCTGAAAAATCTGCAGAAAATCCCATCACATTTATCTATTGTTACCACGTCATGGAAACGAAATCTGATAGTCAAAAACCGCCCGGACGAAATTCGAAATATCGTATTTCGGAGGCGAGATTTTTTAGTGTATTTTCTTGATTTCTTTTTAACTTTTGTTGAGGAAAAACAAAGAAGAAAAATTAGAATAGATTGCATCTCCGAAGTTTTGCTTTGTCTGGGATAATTACCAAAAATTGAGAGAGCAATTCGTTTTTTATGGTTTGCAGTCTATACCAGAGGAGGCGAAAGCTATTTTTATGATAGTTATGAGAAGATGAGGGCCTAGATTAAAAAAAAAACAAAGAAAGAATATGCCTTTAATGGAAATATCGTTAAACCTGTGATAGAACGGCTCCCTAACTTCTAACTTTGAGGGAAATTTTCTCGGTACCTGTCAAAAATATTAAAAAGTTGTAAACTGACAAATTATATATATATATAAATACCACAAACATTTTATCAGCTGGCACATTTTTAATATCTTGCATAGGAGACAAGAAAAATTAGCTCAAGCTTGACAGTATGGTGGACCTTCTATTACAGGTTTTGCGGTATGGAGAAGTGCGAGCAAAAGAGTGGTGAAGAAGCTTTAAAATAATTATTACAGACAATCTAAAATAATTGAAAAAGAAACTTGAGAAATCGAAAGCCATTAAGAAAGTGTTTAGTTTTACAAATCTGAACTACCGTAGTCGGAAACCAAGACATTAAGAAAAACGTTCTGATCCAGACACATTAATGTATTTGAAAAATAATGTCATATGTGCTTGTTTAGAGATTTAGAGGAAATGGAAAAAAAGTCGAAAGTTTTAAAGAGGGCTAAGAGAGACTCAAAAACCAATCAGGAGAGCCAGGAGTGAAAACGAGGAAATTAGTGGGAGAGAAGGAATATAGTAGGAGGGTTTGGGATTTGGCAACAAAAACTGACTTTGAAAGTGAGAGAAATGAGAGAAATCCTGGTAGAAGTGTTGGGAATAGGGGGAGTTGGTGTCCAGATATACACACCAATACTTCCACACTCATTCCAAAAGAGACACTTTTCACGTCATGTCCAAAATAGAGGTCTACACTCTTCCTGCTTCTTCTTCTTCTTGTTCGACGCATCTGTGCCCTCTCAAATGGAAGACTTTCCACGTGTAGAATCCTTCTTGTTTTTATTTATCTTCATCGGTTTCACACAGATTCAGAAGACGTCGTGTGGGAAATGGAAAATACAAAGAATGCGACTTCTTTCCTTTTTTGGAACATATTTTTCTCCTTCTCTTCTCACTTATTCGCTTCTGTCTCATCAGTCTGTGCAGATGTTTTTGTGGCTTTTCGGGGTGAGAAAGGCGCCAGAGGACTTTTTGCCCCATCCCTCATCTATCTGGACGTGGCGGAGCAAAGTCAGATGATGAGCTCATTTTTCTCTTTTCAACAGGAAAAGGAGACGTCCCGAATACACAGAAGAAGGAGAAGACGATGGAGACAAGTATGAAAAGAAAATTCTCAATTCAAAAATAGGAGGTCGTCTGGGACAGAACGATATGGAATATCTTGAAATATCAGAGTTTTCGGAGTTGTTGGAATTCTTCAACACAGAAAATATCCAAGTAGTAACCGATAGTTAAAAATTCATATTTTTCGACCATGCGTCGCAGGTGTTTTGCTTTAAATTCAGAATGATGTTTATCAGATATTTCTAGAAGACTTCTCCGATGTTTGGCGACGAAATCTGACCAGGAAGAAGGGATCCTTTAAGAAAAATCCTATTCCGAGAGAGGAATAGGAAAAGTGTATTTTTCTCATTTCGAATTCATTCCCTCGAGTCCAAAGTAATACCCAAAATATGAATTTAGTGTGATTACGAAGAAGCTACAATTCAAGCTTGTCTTGTGACAGAATCAATCGTATTTCCTCTAATAGAATCTCACCCAAACAGTCAACGTTGAGTTTAAATATCTTGATTTCTGTGAAAAATACCAACAATTCGTCAACTGATAAATCATCTACGAAAATATGAGCAACATTTTATCAGTTGAAGTCTTGATATCTTTCAGAAGATAATTTAGCTTGAATTTGACGATTTCGGTGGGCTTCTATGAGAAAATACAGGTGGGTTTGGATGGCTGGATATGAATTCGAATCCGATTTGGTCAAATCAGTTTAGATTCTTCTAATAGTCTCCTTACAAGAAATTGAATTCATTTCCGCTGGAAACTTCCGCCAGTCGCCTGCTTAGATTATGAAATGTTGATCGTTAACTGAAGAATATTTACACGGAACTTCTGTTCCTTTGATTAAATTTTCGAGTCTCCCTAATTAGAGAGCTCTTGAAAATAAAGTTGGAAAAAATAAGGAAGGTCTTGAGAATGTCTTCGTCTCGTGCATCTCTTTTAAAGAGCACAGTTAATTTTCCAAAACACAATTGAAAGTTTGCAAGAAGAAAGTAGCCAAATTATCAAGAGCAGAGAAGAATTGAAAATTGTGTCTGTCGTTTCTGAGAAAAAAAGTAGAGAAGGGGAAGAAGGAGCGGAGGCGGGGCTTGAAAATTCATGACATACATACCAATTATATGACGATAGAAAAAAGAAAGAGAGCGAGAGAGAGAGGGAGACTTGTGATTGAGCAGAGACAAAGTGACTTTTACAAAAATAAAATAAAATGATATCGGTAATTATGAGGTTGGAAGATTTCGAAAAGTTATGATATCATCTGAAATATTGCTCTTTCCGCCAAAAAAAGACTAACTAGGAAGTGTTGAGGAATCGAAAAGTGCCGTTGGATTTCAAAAATCGGAACGGAAATTCAATTTTTTCTAGTCAGTTCGTGTTCTCGAAAGTCAACGATACTTTTTATTCTTTTCGTACCCCCCCGAAAAATGCTTCAAAATGTTGAGAAGAATGTTTTCTGAGGAATCAAGAAGTTCCGAATTTTCGTGAATGCGTAGGAGAAGACGACATTATGTTATGTTCGACGTTTTTTTAACGAAACGAAATTTTTGAGATTGGAATAAGAAGAAAGAATATATTCAGAAA